AAATTAAAAATTTAGAAAACAAAGTAAAGGATAATCTGATTTTTGTAATCAGTAAAACTAGTTAATAAAATATTTTAAAATCATTTTTGCAAGATGTCAGACTAATGTGTAAATGAACGTCTGATCTCACTACTTGTTTTTTTATGTTACTTTTTGTATTTTTTGCTTGATATGTTTTCTATTCGTATCGATTTTTTGGTTTCTTTACACTACTGTGTTGATATATTTTGCTTTGACTATATATTAGTACAATATTAGAAAGCACTTTAATTGGCGGATATAGTGTGATTTGTATTGCAGTAAATTATTGATTTTCAAGAAATGCCGGCTTTTGACCTGTGATGATACAAATAATGGCGGGCGGATATGTGTTAATAGTCGATGCAGAAAATCTCTTAAGGTTATAGCAATTCGATAAAGATGAACCACTGTATTAAGAAATCGTTTTTTGGTATTTTTTTTATTTATTTTCGACTTAAAGCGACTTGTTGAATTATAGAAAGAATCAGTAAATATATTTTTTTCATTGGGGTAAATATTGTGATTATTTAAAATTTCTAGACTATATTACAAAATGCATTTGAATATACTTTGAAAATGTATTTTGATTAAGCTCGTTGACGATTCTTTGCGGTTGATTTGATTTATGATTTTAATTAACTTTCCGTAATGTATATCATACCCTAAAAATAAATTTTGATTAAGATCGTGAACAATTTTCTGCGTTTGGTTTGATGCTTAATTTGATTATCTGCGTTTGATGTTTTAATTTTACGTAACGTGTAAAATAACTTATAGAGTTTAATATTGTCTAATAAAAACATTTTTAACACTAGAAAGACTGAAACTTAGTATATACCTATATTGCCCAAAAGCAGTCAAAATGACTGGATGGTAAAAGAATAACTAATGTGTAAAGAAATTTGTTTAAAATTAATTTTTAATATTTTTTATATTATTTACAGTTATATAACAAGTTATTAGTAAATATTAACAATAAAAAAAATTAAATGTTGTTCAAAAAGTCACAAAATTCTAAGAAATTGTGTCATTATGTACATCATTGTTTTTCTAATTGAAATTAAAAATCAGTCAAAATGACTTCCTTGGGCAATCCAGTGTTAATGTATAGTTATTTAATCAAATTGTAATCTACGGTTAGCATCGTCGAGTAAACTTCTAAATCTCTAAGTTATTCGGAAGAATTTTTTGTTTTTTTTTAGTTAATGTTAGATATTTACGGAACTTATAAAATGCTTGTGATATTTCTTTCGAGTGTGTAAAAAACCTGACATTGACAGATCATTAAGCTTCCTGAGAAAGCTGGTATAATAACAACGTCCTTTTCCCAGGGAAGACAAAAACTGATATTTCCAGTCTGGCGATATCGGCATTCTTTCTACGTTTGAAAGCACACCCGATGTTTATGAAACCAGTTCCTCTCTTATATACCTGCTGATGGAGGTTAATCTTAATGAAGGCGATTGTGTGGTGTGACACTGGCATCATTATCACAATCTAATGTATTGGGTTAGGGCGTCATTGTCTTTGTGAATGTCGGTACACTTTTATATGCTTAGTGACAATATCCGATCGGCACGTATTTGAAACTTTTCATGGAAGATTCGATTTTATCTTCATTGGTATTTTAAAGTTTAAAGAAAAGTAAGTTTAGGTAAGGCTAGAGTAAACGATGAAGTTTCTAATGCCGAGAAAATGTTTTCAAAATATCAAAATGCTAACAAATTAAGGCGTGATTACTCCCCCCCCCCACAGCTTAATAAAAAGTGACCTTGTGACAATTAATTTCTGCCCTGGTATAGTGGCTTAAAGGGAATTATAAAGTCTAAAAATATTAAAAAATAATTGGCTAGCAAAAACATTAATAAAAGTGAAAATTTTAAAAAAATAACGGGCTAGCAAAAGCATGAATAAAAAAAATAAACACATAAAGAGATAAATAAAAAAAGAGCAAGCGATAAAATTAGAATAACAATTTTTAGAACAACAGAGTTGTTGGTTTTTAAGAGTTTAGTTTTGGTTTTTGATTTTGAAGTTTATTCTAACCCGTTACTGGATTTTCTATATTTTATTGAACGATTATTATTAACCCTTTACGAGTAATTTAATGTCGTTACTGTATTTGTTGTGGTGTGAAATAGATGTTTTTTTTTAATAAAACAAAAAACTGTTTCTTAATACAACTTTATACGTTACAGCGTTATAGAAGTATGAGAACGGTTACTTTTTATTAAACATATAATTTTTGACTGAAATTATATATAATAATATGTTGCAAAAAGCCGTTAAATATTTTAATAGGGGTTTAAAAACAAAACTTATCAATGGACATAAAGTATTTTATATTATTCTTATTTCTTTTTTTAAAAATACAGTATGGAAAATATTTGAAAGAAAAAGCAAATAAAGTTTTTTTTTTAATAAAAAAGCAAAATAATAATTTTATACATATGAACAGTGTGTTTTAGTATTTTGTTGCATATCATGCTTTGGATTCGAACACCGTTCGACATCTTTTCGGCTTTGAGTTTACTAATTTTTTAGCTAGTTTTTGGTGAAACTTTTGATCAATGCTTATAAATTTTCTGAAGAAGTTCAAATTTATTGCATTATCCAAATGTTGACTAAAAAAATAGTCTTATTTTTTGTTGTCGCTTAAAATACAGTAAAAAGGCTTGAGAAATGGGAAACATCAGCCAGATAACAAATGGTTCAGTTGAAAAATTACCTTTATGATAGAGATCATCTGCGTGAATAATAAATTGTAATTCTCTAATCTATAATAATAAAAAATACGAAATATGTCACTGCGCACGGGCTACTAAACTGCGCAGTAAGGGAAAAATACGAAAAATGTCACTCCGTTTGGACAACTGAAGATTCGGATTTCTCATTTATAGTAAAACTTACGGAGGCCTTTTCCTTTCTATAAGGTGTTGATTTAACGCTATCAATGTTCGCAATTTTACGGAAATGATTTAACTTTTATTTGATTAAGTTTTATTTTCGCCGAGTTTGAATGCTTTAAATTTGAAACAAAGCTGTCAGTTCAAACTAATACTTATACAATGGGGCTCTGAAAAATTAGCTGGACTTGAAAACGGATTAAAAAAATAACTTAAAAAAATTTTACAATTTATTTTTTAAAAAAAATCGCCAATGTGGCGAGATTTTCCCTCCTACAAGAAAATTAATTAAAATCATTTAACGTGTCTCAATTTTTACCTATTTTTATATGTCCTAACAATGTAGCGTTGAAATAACTTTACAATATTAAAAAATAAAGATAAAAAAAAACGACTTTCATTCTGGGACTTTTCTTATTTTTGATATTTTGAGCCGTTTTCCAATTTAGTATTTTAGTATAGAAGGCACAGGCTAAAAATTGACAAACGTAAACAGTCATAAATAATTGTTGCATACTCACAATAATTATGAAAATAGCATATTATTCGCTAAAAGTAAAATGCGTTATTTCTCAACAGAGGTATTCAGACATCAGAGCCTTTGAAGGAAAACCAGTTTTAGAATTCCCGAATGAATATTTTGTTATTATAAACTACAAAGCTCCATCAACAATACATCTGAAAATTTGAATAAATAATAAATTGCTATGCTTCCACGGTTTTAAAGATTTGTAGTTACCTAAAAAAATATTTTTTACTTCAAAAATTTGAATTTTCACCAACACTTAACAAGCTGCTTATACTTTCATACTTATTTTCATCGACCTGTAAAAAGAAATATATTTTTATAACAGGATATCACGATAAAATAATTATAGTAATAAAATTATTAAAAGCAGCGATTTTTTTAAAGCGATTTAATTCAAAAAATTAAAACAGGCAATGATAAAAAAAAAAATTTCAATTGCAGGTACATTTAAATTAAGCCTTATATACATAAAATTTGTATCTACTGTCAGGTGGTGATCCTCTATTTAATAAGTATGGAAAATGCCATATTTTCAAGCTTTAATCGTACTTTTGATAAGAATTTACTGAGATATTTTTTGGTTTGCATGTTACTATTTAATATTTCTTTGTGTATGATTTATGTAATTTTTAATTGATTTGGTGAATTTGGTTTGATTTAATTGAAAGGGTATGAATAAAAATGCCAAAAGTGAGGAAATTTTTTATTGTGCAATTTTAAAAATTTACACTTAAATGAATATAAATTAATCTTTAGTGGAAAATTTTATAAGAATGTAATAACTTTAAAAACAGTCAATAACTAATATTTTTACTCAATGATTCAGTTTAGATAAAACACACCTGACTTTTAAAAAAATCTGATTTTTATTCATTCATTGTTGTTGTATATGCCTGTTAAGGCAGAGGGGTGCGATTGTTCTTTTTTTCCAATGGCGCCATCTATGGCCAAGAATTCGACTTCTGCCACACCCATACGTCACGCCTGTTTCTAGGGCGGACCCATTCATACTTCCATTTATTCATTCGCAGATCGTTATTTGGACCTGAATCAGAGAACGATCTATTTCCAATTCAGTACCCCTAGAGGTTTTGATTTGTTATGGGAACATGGAGGACTTTGCGACTCGACAGATTTAACGTGCCTCAGTCACCATTTTACTACACGGGGAGTCTTCGGCCAGCGGGGTTCAAACCCACGAACTCTCGGATATGGACCCAGCGCCCTATCACGGCCTATTCATTCATTCATTTATTTATTTATTTTCATGGTGATATGATAATCTTGTAACAATCATAAATGAGAAGTATAAATATGTATGAGTTTTTTTTCCTTAATTATTTTATGTGCTTTTATGTTTATTTTTGGTGCTCTCCCATAGAGTAATAATCAATGTTGATACACGTGGTAATATTTTTCAAAAGAATTCTCGTTATAATGAACAATCAGTGGTATCATAAAGCATATAGCTTTTAAATTAATAAGTGGAGCATTTTTGTTAAGTGTTAAAATTTTAGTTAAACTTTGATAAATTTCAATTGCAGATGGTATTTCGGCAAAATCAAGAGGATAGAAGCTGAAAAGAAACTGCTGTTACCTGAGAATGAACATGGAGCTTTCCTCATTCGAGATAGTGAGAGCAGAAGGAATGATTTCTCTCTGTCTGGTAAGAATTTCGTAAAAATCATTGTGAATGAGGAGAAACCATTTGAATATCACAACAATATGTTATGTATCAGGGTGTGTAACTTTTTAAAAAGTGCTTAAAGGTGCTTATTTTGATTTTTGTTTTTTAAAAGCCCTTAAAGGTGCCTTTTTCATTGGGTGTTTTTAAAAAGTACTTAATTTTCTCTTTTTCAAAATGAGATTTGTCCTTTGCCCTGTTGATTTTTGCTAGGAATTATGCAAAAAGACACAGTTCACATTGTTCTATTCAACATTTTCACAATTAATTCAACCCCAATCTATTTCAGCTTATTGTCAGTTCATAGCGTCTGAAAACGCCATTCGTTTTACATGATTCAAAATTTCATGATTTTTGACAGTTGTCAAAAATAATGCCAAAATTGTTTTGTTTTTTTGACATGATGGTTAAAACAAAATAAAACCGTCAATTGTCAAAAACTTTCCAACCCAGCCTAATTATGATATTTTTTTAAAGTGCTTAAAAATATTTTTTGAGTGCTTGAAAGGTGCTTATTTTTTGTTGAATAATTTGCCCCCTGTGAATAGTTTGGTTCTGTGATATTTCATGCATTGCTTTTCTGAATGTTATGCCTAATTTGGCCTCCTCCTATGCTACCTTCCAAATTGCCCCTCTATGCTTACTTACTATTCTTTATTTCAGAAATTAAATTTCTTTTATCCATTGTATAATCTTTTCAATGTGAAGGAATTTTAAGCGAATGTAGTATCTTGTATAAGCATTGCTTAAACCTAAATACACCCTTGAAATCAAAAAGACAAGTTTGAATTTAAAAGACCTTTTTTTAAGTTTTATGACGAAATAGCTCAAAAGTGCAGTAATTTAAAATGAGTAGTTAAAATTTTCAGAAAATTTATAATTTATTTATTTTTTCCCATCTGAAGTACTCCAAAGTAATAGATACAAGTTACAAGCTTATTGCTACATTTTATTGCACTGGGTGTTCAAAAACTCTATTTTTTTTGTTTGTAACTTATAGCCAGTCCTTCAAGGCTCTGAAAGTTTTGAACCTTATTGATAAGCATGAGAATTCACAAGACTTAAAGACCTTTAAAATTATAAAATTATTCTCTAAATATTTCTTGAGAAATATGAAAAAATGTCAAAAACCTGTAGGGTAGTGTACATGAAATAATCTGTTTTAATGGGGATAGATTGTTTGACATTTATCATATTACTTTAGGAACACTAATGTATATATTTGAAAAGGACAATACTTATTTGTCATTTTTTAATAAAAACATTTTATTTACAGTGCGAGATGGAGATACTGTAAAACACTACAGAATTCGTCAATTGGATGAAGGTGGTTTCTTCATTGCTAGGAGAACCTCTTTTCGTACTTTGCAAGAACTTGTTCAGCATTACAGTAAAGATGCCGATGGATTATGTGTTAATTTACGAAAACCTTGCATTCAGGTATGCATGTCATTACTTACATGAGATTCTTATGTCTAAAATTTCATATCTAATATTTACTTAAAAATTTTGAATGAAAATAATTATTTAAATTCATTGGGAGAGTTAAAGGATTGGTGAAACCATTGTTATATCTGATCTTAAATTAAAGTATGCTTGCAGTTAGTTTTTTTCAGAGAATCCTCTGTGAGGGTCAAAAATGTTGGAAATGTTAGCTAGTAATAGTTATAAAATAAAATTTGTGTAAGTGCTTTTCTTATAGATCTTTATATAAGCACAATCTTTCTCTTTTTTTTTTATGCTGTGAAGAAGGTGCCATAAAATTGTTGCCCAAATATCAGTATTTTTTCAAATGAGGAAAAAATTTGTGAATTCTCATCTCAGCTGTTAGGAATCAGTATATATGTTCTTTTAATTGTTTTTTACTGTTATATTTAAAGTAACAAAACATTTAACAAGTAAAAATATTGACAAATGGGAACAACTTTTTTACATGTCTACAGTTTTTGTTCTCTAACAGGAACAAATTCAAAATCATCAAATGTTTTATAACAATATGTCAACAAAGTCGCATCAATGAGACTTGATGAAAGTCTCCCAACTTTAACAAAAAAATTCGATCTGCTGTTCTAAACTTTTTATTCCGATCTGCTGCTTTTTTAATGTCATTAGATTACTTTCTGGTAATTTTGGTGGATGTCTCAGGGATACCAGTTCAAGATAATATAAATCCAGCTATTGTTGGTGTTTTGAGCTCCATGGACAACCCTCTGCCATTTTAAGCGTTTAAATGTCTTGATGACATTGAATATTTTTGTTCTCAAGGACGCCAGGATGGGTGGTTAAAGGAGGTTGACCCCCAAAGATTTTTACTATTCAACAAATTTTGTCTGGCATGTTCACAAAATTTCCTTTTCTCTTTATCTCTCCATCTTTTTTTTTTCAATGAAACATAATTAATGAAATCAGTAAATATTTAAATATTTAACCTTCATTTAACTTTTTTCAGTATTAACAGAAAAAAAATATGCACCAAGTATCATTTCAGGTATCCATTTTACCACGCTTATATTTCAACAACAAATCAAATTCCCTCCTCACCATTGAAAAGCCCACTTTTAATCACTTGTCCTGGAGCTTTTATTTCTGAATACAAATTTACTAGTTTCATCAGAAATTGAGAGGTAAGACACCAATTAGCTCATCTTCAAAAACCATCTCTTTTTTTTTTTTTAAGGAGAAATATTCAGAAATTGTAACAGTGAATACAGTTTAGTTAGTAATGTAGGCAACTGTTGTACTAAGAAGAAAAAAAAATTTAATTACTTACCGTAGAAACTTAATTTTGGTTTTTAAATACATAAAAATTTCTTTAGTTAAAAAACTACATTAATGACTCAAAGTTGGATTATTAATTTGTGGAACTATTTATTATATCTCTATACTAAATAAAAGTCGCTGTCATCACTATTTCAGAAAATTCTGGATTTTTTTAATTTTGAACTTGAAAAATTTGAAGATGAAATGGGAAAAGTTGGTGTTTATGTCATTTATGATTTATCCTTTTTCTGAGCTGCTCCTGATGTTTATTTATTACTCATAAAGAAAATTACAGGTGGTTATTTATGAATCTGTCAAATTAGGAATTTCATTCGGAAAAATGGAAATTTCTTCCTTCAAAAAATATAAGTTTGCAGTGCCCTTGATTGTCCTATCTATGTTACTCATTTCAGGTTCTTTCTCATTGTACCAAATATTTCATACCAAGTATTTTGTAGTACCAAGTATTTCTTGTTGTCAGGGACGAGCCCGGTATCTGATTGAGCATGCATTTTTTATCCCTACATGCCGGGTTGTTCATAGATATCTTGCACTGCTAACACTATTGTATATACATTTCAATTTATTTTAGGTTGAAAAACCAACTACTGGTGGTTTATCTCATAATACCAGAGATCACTGGGAAATTGATCGAAGTTCTCTGAATTTTGTTCGAAAATTGGGACAAGGTCAATTTGGAGAAGTATGGGAAGGACTGTGGAATAATACAACTCCAGTTGCTATTAAAACTTTAAAAACAGGTACTGCAGATCACGTCATTATATGATATCACAATTATGTATTTAGCATTGTATGTTTTAAATAATAATTTTTTTTTATGTAAATAAAAAATATTCAATGTATGCAAAGCTATTAGCACGGAGTGCTGTGGTTATTTACCTTTTGATCCATTGAAATGTAAAGTACTGAAAATACTTATTTGTTAATAATCCTCTTTACTGCTGATTTACATATTTTTATTAGTAATGTTTTGACTAAATGATAACGTGTTAAACGGATATAAAATTCTATTAGTAGAACTTTGTATTACTTAAATAGTAGATAACTTCGGCAGATAAAACCATTTTTTCTGCTGAAGTTAAGGAGCTTTAATTTGAAAAGCTGATTGATGATGGTAATGAGAGAAGCTTTAGAAAATTTATGTAAAATTTTCATGGGAAATGATGATTATGTTGTACCTTGACTTCTTCTGCATGAACTTTCAATTGGTGACATTTATAAATGCCTTACACTCTTTTAAACAGTGTGTATCATAGTGTTTACGTGTGTATCATCACTTTTGGCATTTTAATTTGATGCCAGAAGAAAAGTTTCCTAAGTTATTCATCAACTGCTTGTCGCTAAATATACGTAGAACTTCCTGTTATTCTGAAAACACTCAAAGATTGTTATTTGATATATTCATAAGGTCTGCAAAATTTTAACATTTGACAAAATGAATTAATATTGTGTGGTTAAATATGATTAAATAAAATATTTTCCCTTACTTTCAGTAAGCTCTTCAATTATATTTCAACTGGTTTATAGTAGACATAGATAAATCTTGTGCTTTTTTTTAAAAAAACATTTTTTGAGGAATGGAGTGTTAAATTTTATGGATTTTAAAAGCATGTCAATTAAAATTTTTATATGTTGGTTGGTTACTTATAAAAAGTTAGACTTGTGTAATCTCTATGCAAGCTTAAGATATGATAGTATGAAAAGAAAAAAATTAAGTGAAGAATTTCATCAAGAAGCTGATGAATAAAATATGAGATTTGGAGAAATGAAGGGCAATCACAGTGTGTTTGTGTTTTAAAAAAGTTGCCATTAACGCAGGCAAGTCAACATTACCATGAAGATATGGGCAAGTTAAATGTGTGCTAACAAGCAAAATAATCACCAACTGTCATTTTTTGAATGAGTAAAAATTAATTTAAACTTATATAAATCTACATTGTACCAATGTTTTCCCTCTTAATTTTATAATATACATATACACACTTTTTTTCAGGGGCATACATCTAATCTACAATTTTGTCCCGGGTATCCACACACCTTTTCAGACTACTGCTTAAATTTTAAATATAATTTGAATTATAAAATTTTAAGTTCCATTAAAATGCTAATGAGGGATATGCTATGATAACATAACATAGTGTAAAATTAGTTCAATACATTGTTTATTGTATTTTTTCTGTATTTTTTTCTTTTAAAAGTTCATAACAAGTGTCATTCCATCATGTCCCAGCTTACCTATTATCTCATATTTGTGCTGAGTATTCAGGAATAAATCCTCGGGCCGGGCAAGGTTCACTCAGCCTTTCATCCCTTCAGTGGGCCGATAAAATGAGTACCAAGCATGCTTGGGAACTAACACTGGGGGTTCCGCGTTCGGCTGACCACCTGACCAGAACATATGCTCCTGCACCCCAGAGCCCAAGGTCAAGAAAACTGAGATGGGCACAGTCGGCCTTGGCCCTCTTAATGGGCTGTCGCGCCACTGAGTTAGTTTAGTTAGTTATTCAGGAATAAATTACACTGCTAAATTTGAAAAATTAGATTATTTTACTTTCAATTATTTTATAAATAGAAAGAAATCTGTTACTATATTATTTAAAACAAATCATCATTTTCGGCTTGTAAATCTTATAGGAAATAAAAAAATCTTGTGATTAATTGAAAATTATTATGAGAATGCCTCTATTTTAATATGGCTAAACTATTTTCTATGACACATAATTGAATGTAAAAATAAATAGCTAAGTAGAGAATTATGCCTTTGTGTAAATTTTCAATCACTTTGACATCACTTTGCATGCCAGGGCAATATTTATAAAAACTAATTTGAAACATTAGTTATTGAAATCAACTTTTTCAAATCTTTTGTATTGCACTTTTTTGTTAGAATTACACATTTTAGCCAAATTACACTATTAACGAATTGTATCATTTTCAAAGTAAACTACTAAAATTTATGTTTAGAAATTAAACTTTTGTTTGTTTTATTAATAAAAAGAACTGATGAATAAAAATTTTATTAACCAAGCTACAGTATTTTGATGTGAACTTGAAAAGTTTTATTGTAACTTCAGATATTGTTGGTGGAAAAGCTATAGTGTAATAATTGTATAAACTGGTTTGCCTTTACTTAATTAATACTTTTATATTTGCTATGTTTCAAAGGTACAATGGATCCTAAAGATTTCTTAGCTGAAGCTCAAATAATGAAGAAGCTAAGGCATCCAAAATTGGTGCAACTGTACGCTGTCTGCACATTAGAAGAGCCCATTTACATTATAACTGAGTTAATGAAACACGGCAGTTTACTTGAATACCTACAAGGTAGATGCATATCTTTTTTTAGTAGTGTTTAATCTTGCCATTATTAACTGGTTTTTTTGACATCTTATATTCGTGTACCCCAAAAGGTCTAGGAAAAGCGAGAGCTTTGAAATTGCCTCAACTAATTGACATGGCTGCTCAAATAGCATCTGGAATGGCATATCTTGAATCTCAGAACTACATACATAGAGATTTAGCTGCAAGAAATATTCTTGTGGGAGATAATAATGTTGTGAAAATTGCTGATTTTGGATTGGCTCGACTGATAAAGGTAATTTAACATATTTTTATGTTTCTGAATCATTCGATCCATTTGAATTTAAAAATGTTTTGAATCAAGTTAAAATATATAAATGGTGCGTAGCATTTTTTAAAAGTGCTTAGAGGTACTTATTTTTGATTTTAGTTCTTTAAAAGCCCTTAAGGTGCTTTTTTCATTGGATGTTTTTAAAAAGTGCTTAACTTTCTCTTTTTCGAAAATGAGATTTTTTTCGTTACCATGTCGATTATGCAAAAGCGTGCTTTTCACATTGTTCTATTCTCTGTTTTCATAATTCATTCAACCACAATCCATTTCGTTGTACCGTCGGTCCATAGCGTATGACAGCTCCTATCATTTTACATGTTTGATGAGCCTGCATGTGCGTCTGCTGAGAGCTGGGTTTGGTGAGATTCTTGCACTCTAATGTGCAACTCTGCTGCCTTTTGTAAGATATTCTCAATTTCAGGCTTCATTTTCCACTGTCTGATATCGAACCGAAAAACCTCTACATCTTTTAATAGTGACTAATATAATCCAGAAAAGAGTTCTTTGTTCGAAACTAGTTATTTTATCATGATCATGCAAAGTCTTTGAAAATTATTTTGCATTTTGTTAATGCATATAGTGCTTTTTGAGTGCTTGAAAAGTACTTCAAAGGTGCTTATTTTTTGTTGAGAAATATGGCTACCCCTGTCTAAGTAATGAAAATTATCACTGTGTTGAACTATTTATTCCTTATTTAAAAAATAAGAATTTGATCTTGATATAAGAAGTTTTATGTTAGTTAAATCTTTATTTTTAATCCTAATTTTTTTCCCCTTTGTATTTTGAATTGTGTAATAGCAGTATAATTTGTAACAAGTTTATTTTTCTAGCCTGCCTATTGAAGAATGGCTAATTAATTCCATTGATATCTTCTTTTCGTTGAAATAATAAATCTCCTGTATAGAGATTTTTAACTTTACTGATTCTATGTAAAAAGGATTCTGCCATTTCCAAACTTTTTACTGTAGTAACTTTCATCAATTTCATAATAATGTGGTGTAAAAAACTATGTTTTAGAGGAATGCCTCCAAAAAAATAATGTTGCAGTGAAGTAAAACTTTTATGTTATTTAATTATGAAAAATTTTTATTTTCTGCTGTGTATAAATTATTTATATTTTTAGTTTTAAATAAATTCAATGTGAAGCGTCAAACATTATGAACATTTTAGTTTCAGTTAAATTATAAGTTTTAAAAGAGCACCTTTATTTTTTTCGCTTGAGAAGAACAATTTTTGAATGCTTTATATTTTTATACTTTTAATATTATTTTTTCCAACAATGACCAAGTCATAATAATGGTGTATTTTATTTTATTTCATAACCCTCGTTGAACGGCTGACCCAATTTCGTGTTTACGACTACTAATGTTAAATTCTGAAGCCTTGTAATTTTGAACCCAATCTAGAAGACAAAGAAACTCCTTGATCAAATATTACAAAACATTCGCTTAAGTGGAGGACTTTTTTGATGTAACTAACCCCCATTTATGTTACATGGAGAGGAAACCGAGAACCTCCCATGGTTAGCATAACGGCAAGGGAACTTTAGCCCATGATCCTTCTACCACTGAGGATATTTTTTGTCAGCACTGTGATCAGTGTGAGCCAGGTATAGAATTTGTATCAACCAGCCATTGCTGGGATTCGAACCTGGGTCACCTCATTGGTAGTTGAGAACTATCCCCTGAGCCACCCTGGCTCAATAATTATATATTAGAAAAATCAAAGTAACATTAAATTTTTTTTCTTCGTATAATACCTCATTTGCAGTGACCAGCTGCTTTCGCTGATGGGCTGTTGTAAGTGGCTCAAGGAAGATATTTAAATTTGACGTCACGCTTAAGTACACTCAGCTGCTGCAGTGCAAACAAAGTATAAACTGTGTTTTTTTTAATGTTATTTTAGCAATATTCTCATGCGGGGATATCAGTATTTAACTTTTTTGAATCATGATTTTTTTAAATGTTTTATGTTATCTTCTGAATTTTATTTTCAAAAAAACATTTCAACTTTTTATTTAACATGAAACTTTCTTGTTAAAGAATTGTTTTTAAAATGTCTTGCTTTTGTTTATTATGAAAAGTTTTGTTTGACTATTTTTTCTTGTTTAGGAGGATGAATATGAAGCCAGAGTTGGTGCTCGGTTCCCCATCAAATGGACTGCTCCAGAAGCTGCAAATTACAGCAAGTTTTCTATCAAATCTGATGTCTGGTCCTTTGGTATTCTACTCACTGAATTAGTTACTTATGGTCGTATACCTTATCCAGGTTTGTAGTAAAATTTGCTATTAAGAATCTCAATAATTAAAAAAAAATTATTGCATTAAAAGCTTTTAATTTCATTTGAAAAATAATGTTGTGCATGCTAGATTTAAAAAAATTAGTATAATACAATTTTTTTTTATGTTTATATTTGTTAAAATATTATCCAACTACCCTTACTGAAGTCAATCCCTTAGGCTTACTTTTTGATACTTGGTTTTTCTCCTTTCTCATTTAAAAGTGTACTGCACCACGCAGTTAAATTTCTTTTTTATTTTATTNTATTTGTTAAAATATTATCCAACTACCCTTACTGAAGTCAATCCCTTAGGCTTACTTTTTGATACTTGGTTTTTCTCCTTTCTCATTTAAAAGTGTACTGCACCACGGAATTGAATTTCTTTTTTATTTTATTTATATTCATATCTTATTGTAAATAATTTCCAGGATATAAGTCTTCAGATATTGTAAGAACAAAACCTTTTTGTCAGTTTATGATGCTACAAACATTACATGTATTGCACTCACATTCATAATGTAGGAATTTTCTACCTTGATGAGAAAAAATTCGGTAGATGGATTAGTGAATAAATGGATTATATTTTTGGTTGGTTGGTTCTAATGCCACTTGCCACACGGGTAAGCCTGCTTGGTGAAACCGAGCAAATTTAAGGCAGAGTGTGCATTTCTTGTTTTTCAGTGGCACCCACTATGGTCAAGAATTCAACTTCTGCCACACAATACGTCACACCCGTTTATAGAGCGGACCCATTCATACATCCATTCATATGTTTTTAGTTTTGGAAACTAAAAACATATGGTGGGAACTTGGGGTTTCTATTTACCTGAAGAACATATTCAAGAACATTTGAACTAAATATTTTAAATTGGTTAATTCTGAAACAATCTACTTTTTAGTGTGAATTAAATGAAGTATAATTTTCTAATATAATGCAAATTTTAGTGTGTATTTCTAAATATGTAAAATTAAGTCACCTCAATTGCCAGAATCATTACTTTTATTTGCAACTATTATATCCATATAAAGTGAACAGAAAAAAAGAAAGAAAATCTAAAAATATCAGTTATTTCATATCTCACAACAAAAATGTTTTTCTTGTTATTAAGAAATTTTTCTCTAATGAATTTTTAATGTGTAGTTTGAATCTTTTTATTCATTATAAAGGAAGAGATAAAAAATTATAAAAGATCAGAATAATTTATAAAAAATATTGACATTTTGAAATGCAAAATGGCAATATAGTTTCATCTCTATGAAGAGTTTTGTACTATAGTAGAATTAATATGCATTGTGGGAAAGCAAAAGCTCTCGTAATCCATAAAATTCATCCATCTCGTAATTCATCTGTCTCCATGAAAAAATAAAGTTTAGGAACACTGTACTCTACTGTACTGTAATTTTATTACCAGTACTGCTTCATTCTCATTTCATATTTAACAGGGTGCTTAAAGGTGCTTATTTTTGATTTATGTTTTTTAAGAGCCCTTAAAGGTTTATTCAGGGTTCGTAAAAAGTGCTCAATTTTTTACCTTTTAAAAAGAGATTTTTCCTTTGCCATACCGATTGTCATTTTATCATGATTAAGTAAACAGTTTTTGAAAATTTTACTAAATTTTATTGATTCAATGTTTATAAATTAAGAACTTTAATCGATAGAAAATTTTTTTTTATTGCTGCACAGATCCTAGTTATGATTTTTTTTGGGAGGGAAAGTGATTAAAAATATTTTTTGAGTGCTTGAAAAGTACTTAAAAGGTGCTTGTTTTTTGTTGAAAAATCTGTTGCACCCTGTTTAATTCTTTTATATTTATTTTATGATTTTAAATTTTTTTTCTTCCTATATGTTAGGTATGACCAATGCTGAAGTATTGCACCAAGTTGAGCACGGTTATCGTATGCCATGCCCACCTGGTTGTCCCCCTGCTTTATATGAGATTATGTTGGAGACATGGCACAAGGACCCCATGAAGAGACCAACATTTGAGACCTTGCAGTGGAAACTGGAAGACTTCTTCACCTTAGAGGGTTCTGAGTATAAGGAAGCTTCCAATGTCTACTGAACAAAACTTCAGAATGTTGTGTATTCTAATTTATTCATGTATTGTTTAATGCATATTTTGTTGTCATGCACCTTTTTTTTGCATGTGAAGTAATTTGACAAGATCTTTTTGCTTTATTTCACATTGACAGGGGAGGGGGGAACATTCAAAATGGGGAACTTCTCAAGATTTTGTTTGAATTCTATTCATACTTTTTTGTTACTAGCAAACAATTTTATTTCAATAAATTAATGTGTAGATTGCAAGATTTGAATTGTTTTACTTTTCACATGCCATATAAATTTTATAACTCCCTAAATTATTATTGAAAAATGAATATTATATACCTGGGTGGGTACCAGTAAATTTTGAAATAAAATATTGAATCTGTACTACTTTTAAATTTCTATTTTTTTTAATTAATAATTCAACTTTAAAACTTTTGTGACATTATAGCTTTTATTTTAGATTATGACACAATATAGGTTTATAGGTTAGGTTTAAATAGAGAGCATAAAATAATAATACTTTTGCAAATTATTTTATTTTTACTGAATAAAAATTAAGACTACTATTTGATTTTATCGTGTAGACTGTTAGTTGAAGCTTGTCATTCTTTTTTTTTTAAATGATTAATAAGTGATTAAATCTATATAATCTTTTTTGTCATAGCTAATGGATTTTTTGACTTTAAAAAATAAATACACCTAATGAAATAAGTTTTTTTGTTAAAAAAAAACCCTCAAACTAATTTGTTGATTTTACATTGATATGAAACTATTTAGTTTTATTTTTTAATGCAATGACAGCTATAAATTTCTTTTTTAATTGCACAGGAATTTCACATGCATATTTAAAAGCAATTCACTTTCTTCAATCTGCAATTTCGTGTAATGCTGACTGATTGCTTAAGCACTCAATTAGTATGCACATTCAGTTTTCCATGTACTAGCATGGTAATATGCTTTGTATTCTTCACCAAAAAATACAGCTGCAGTTGTACCTTTCAGGTATAATTTTTCAGTTAGTGAAAAAATTTATAAATAGTAGCATATTGTATAATAGTAAATTATTTAATCTTTAAGTTACAAGTGTTAATTGGATGTTTCAAATTTTTTTGGATGTTTTACCCCTTGTATGTTTACATATAAGGTGAAACTCCTTCCTTTGTTCTTTACAAATTCTAATTTTATTTATTTGCATATTATTCCCCTTTTACAATCTTAAATGTAAAAAGCACTTCACTTTTTTATCTTTACACAAGCTTGGCGTCCCTGCAGTTTTGGAGAAACTTTTTTTTGCCTAAATAGGTGCTATATTATTCACAAGCCATAATAACTTTAACTGCCTCTATTTTTATGAAATATGTTTCTTTTTGTTGATAATGCCATTAACATTTCAAATTGTTATTTAATTTAACATTAAATATACTAACACTGTTAGTCATAATGGACATGGAAATGACCAATAGGTCAATATTAAAAATCATATTTATGAACTTTAAGACTGTGTATATGTTTTAAAAAAATTCATGAAACTGGAAATTTTAAAATGCAATTTTAATCAGTGTTGTTTATCTATATTATTTTTTAAAAGCCTGAAACTTTTTATTATAATTTCTCAATTTCTAATACATGGTGCATATCAGTAATTCAAAAAATTTCTTATAATTGATTTTGTTTTTAAATTGTTAATTCTTTTATAAATGGTTCTTAGTAGATATTACAAAAAAAAGTAACATAAATCAACTAGAATCTGTTAAATTTCAATCATTAAATTTTTTTTAAAATTAGTTAAGGTCACATTCTGCCAGTTATAATAAAGTTTTAATAATTTAGCACTAATTTTAAATTTGTTCTCTGATGGTGTAACTGTAACATAATCATAACTTCATTAGTTTTAAACTAATCTCATTAAATGTTTTTGACTGCCAAACAGAATAAAGCTCTTTTTGAGTGCCAAAAAATTTATAACTTAAAATTACGCTTTTCAATTGGCAAATATGTAGAAATTGTGTAAGGTAAACACTTTTGTTCTTTACTAGTACATTTATTGTGGAATGTAAATTTGTGTAAATATAGTTTTTAATGTTTTGTAATGCTTTATTTCGAGTGGCATGCACCTATAGTTGTAGGATATGAAAAATAATTGTTGACACACATCGAAAATATTTGCTCACTTGTAAAAATTTTATAATTTATTAAGTAAACTCATGAATCTTATTTTTCTTGTCTTGTAAATCAATTCTAGCTTTTCTATTTTTTATTCTTATTTTGTTCAAAGTTTATATTTACAAATATTGTAGAACTCCAATTGTTTCAACCAGATTCTAGTTATCTAAACTAAACTCTAATTATCTAATCCAAACTTCGAATATCTGATCCAAATATCTTATTCAAAGTAACTTTAATTTTTATTTTATGATCAAAACTTCAATTGTTGTGTGATCCAAACTTGAATTATTTGGATAAGTTTGAGAAAAAAAATGGCTAGTGCTGAGTGGTTACAAATAAGTTAAAATTTTAAGTGGTTTAAAAGTTATCAGCTAAATCAAAAGCAGCAAAAAATGTTTTTTTTTTACTATCATCTAGTAATTTTTAAAGTAAGTTTTGTTTTCACCCTTGATGGTTTTTTGCTTTTTATGTATACCCAAATTTTTCATGTATTTGGTTTAGCTATTTTTTTAAAACTAGTTATTCAGCTTTCTAATTGGAGCTCTACTTTATTTAATTTTCTCTTAAAGCAATTCAATAATGGAAGTAAGATATTTTATTTTTAAAGTATCTAAAAATATATTTTGTTATAGATTTTCTGAATTTTTTTATTGGTGTAAAAATTTTCGCTATTATTCTATTCAAATTTCATTGTCTTTAATTGTTTGACATTCCATTTTTTTTGAAAGTTTGTTTAACTTTTCATTCATAATAAGAATGTTGGTTCTTCCAAAAATGTGTTACCTATATAATATTTGAATGTATTGTTTGTTTTTTCCCCTTTTTTCTAATTGATTATTTTTTTTAATCTTAATCTTTTCTGTACATATTTTCTTAGTTTTGTGAAAACTTTAAAATTTTAGTAATGGTTTTTGTTTAGTTAAATGTATTTTTGGGTGACTATATTAGTCAAAATTTGTCTTTTCTTTCTTTTTCTTTTTGACAGTCTAATAGATATTTTTTTATTGATCCAGAGCTTTTTTTTCCAGACTAGTTTTACTACGTTTATTAAATCTGGATATGATTATTTTAGGAAATCATTCCCATTTCCTGTTTTTTAAATTATTTTTAAATTTTAATAATAATAGTTGTGCTTAATTTATGCTATTATTATTCTAAACTACATTCATTTATATGATTGCCTAAGTTTTTATTATCAAACTTGAAACTAATCAACATTCATTTTTTTTTATGGCAATAGTTTCGTGGAATTTTTTTAAAAAAGTTTTTTAGTTCTTTTTATACATAATTTACTAGAAAACATGCATGTTAACTTTAAATGGTGCTTGATTAAACTCCTCAAGATACCCTTTTGAAACTTATTCATATGATTGCTTTAAACATAGTAAAGCACAAGATATTTTTTCACCAGTTAACTTAAACATTACCAGTTTTTAAATGAGGAATTGTTTTTAATTTTACAAAATTTTTTCTATGTTTGGAAAAATATAGTTAGCTCTAAAAAACAAGCACATTAAAGTAAGATTTGTACAGAGAGTTTGTATAGAATAAAGCTTTTAATGTTTGTAATGTAAAGCGTTTTTAAGTTGTTAAGGTTTGCTTTAAATTCTCTTCTCTGTTAGATTTTATATAAGTAATATTTTAATAAAACAGTAAACAGTATTATTTTAATTTTATTCCCTGAAATGTTTTATAAATTTGTGATATTTGTAAATTTATAAATAAGTTTGAATTATGAGTGGTTCAAAATCATAACAAAGATTACTTTCTTTTATGCAAAATAAATATTTTGAATATTTATTTTCTTCAGAATTATTTTTTACTTTATTAAATGAAACTGAATATGCTACAATTTTTATATTAACTGTTATATTTTAATTATTAGTTTTTTCTTTCAAAAGTGAACTTTATGTACTATGACTTTGAATTTTTTATGATCTAAGCATAGCTTATTTTGATGCTTTTTTTTTCTATTTTAAATTTATGAAATTAGAGATTATTTATAAGTTCAGTTTAGTTTTTATATAAATGTATCTTTGTTATTTGAACAATTATAGTTAATTTGTATTTCTGGCTATGTGAGCTATTGATACATATTAACTTTTGATAAAGCTTAGCTTTAATCTGGTCCCCCTGCTTCTCCAAATAATAAAGATATATTGATTTAGATTATATTGATGATGATTGAATAAATATATATTAAAGATATAGATCCTATAACATATCATTAAAGAATATTTGTACAACTTAATTTTTTAAATGATCCATTGTTCTTGAAAGCTTTGCGTGTTGAAACAAATCTTCTTTTGTAAAAATCTTTTTAAATTTTAACAAAGTGGCACGTATTAAAATAATTTTCGAAGAACTGTTTAACTATACGGAAAAAGGACAACATATTATAATGCCATTTGTTATAAAATAGAAAAATGGACGATTATCTGTAGTGATTTAGAATACTTTTCAATATCATTGCTATTTTTCAACATCTAATTTCTTATTATTTGTTATTTTAGTATAGAGATACATGATTGTAGTAAAAAATTTTTCTCAACAAAAAACTTTTAATTCATGTAATTTTTTTTACAACTATATCCTATGACAGAAGTCTGCAAAAATGCAAAATTTCGAGGAATCAGAACTAATTTTTAAGAGCCAGATTGTTATGGAACAGAAAGTAGCTATTTACTCTTGTATTTTGAAATTGTTTTTATTTTAAAATAAAGCTTCTTTTAGTTTGGCTCGACTTAAAATTTTTTAGGTGCCCATGATTTGTAGACAACTCTCCCTAGGTATTTTATAGTTAATTTTTAATATAAAATAAATGAGATAATGTAAAATAAAAATTCATATTATTTTATCGAGCAATTAGAAAATATTTTGCTGTTTAATATAGATTTTTTAAATTATGTTAAGCTTCCAATAGCAGAAGTAGTAAAATATTATTTATTAGCAGTTCTTTTATAAACATATATATCTAACAGATTTTTTTACACTAGCTGCAGTTTCTCCTTTCTAAGTTAAACGATATTTTTAAATAAGAATCGTTATATGATTAAATTATTTGCATTTATTGCTTTTGCTGGTACTCAACGTTTCATTTGCTCATTAAAAATATGTATATAGCATTTCTTTATGAATTATTTTATGAATGTGTTTTGTTTTAAAAATGATTTACAATAATTATTTTAATATTTAGCTTCATATTAATACATAACAATAATTATATTAATACATAACAATAACTATATTTATATTAATATATTACTTAAATGTTTATGCTGAAAATTTCATTTCTCTATTTAAGAAATTAGCTATTGCATTGATGAATTTTGAATTTTTAACGTAAATTTTATTAAAAAAAGAATTTGAAGTAAAAAATGTTTGTGTTCTTGTAGTAAATATTTTTGTCTTTTTTTCAATAATATATTATCACGAACTAATAAATTAATTTAATCGTCTCTTTTGTATATAAGAATTCTGTGTATAATTTTTGTTAGTGAACTTTTTTCATGCTTTTGCTCATCTGTAAAATTACTAAAACAATTTCAAAATTTAGAAAAGTTCAAACTGGTTTGCTGTAAGCTAAGATTCTATGTAATCATTTATAATTTACAATTGAAATTTTATCAAATTGTTAAATGATGCATTTAAAATCTGCTTAAAAGTTTATTGCTCAAAAATACCAATTTAATATTGTTAAGAGTGATTGTTACTGTTAATTATGAAAATTTAAGCATTGTTGGAAAACTTCATTTGTGTTAATTTTCTGTGTTTTAGTGATTGATTTTTTTATGGAAAAAAAAATGCATTTGTTAATGTTTCTGCTTCATAAAATGTATGCATTTGCATTTAGATTTACATGTAATAAAAACATGTCCTAATGATGAAAGGCTTATTTCTTGCAATACAATGACATTAAACCATAGTTTCCCAACAGGTGCACTAATAACTTTTAAGGGTGCGCTAGCAAGACTATTGGTATTTAAAGTGTGTTAGGCATTTCTAGAGGATTGTTAAATTCATAATTGTTTTAATTTGATATTTAAGTATGATTTGCCTTTTTAGATCAGCATACAGTATTTGTCACTACAGCAGTTATGTTGATTATCAGAGTTTTTCCATGTTGATTATTTATGAGAGTTTTGAGAAAAGGGTTTACCCTTTATCCACCAACCCAAAGAATGTTCCCCACTTTCCAAATAAAGAATTTCCTTAAACAGGGTACGTAGCGTTTTTAAAAAGTGCTTATTCTCGATTTTTAAAAGCCATTAAAGGTGCTTTTTTCATTGGATGTTTTTAAAAAGGGCTTAATTTCCCCTTTAACGAAATGAGATTTTTCCATTGCCATGTTGATTTTCGCTACGAATTTTACAGAAAGACACTGTTCACATTGTTCTATTCAGCGTTTTCTCAATTATTTCGGCGTATCATCAGTCCGTAGCGCATGAAAACGCCATTCGATTTACTCAAGTGCTTAAAAGTATTATTTGAGTGCTTAAAAGGTTTTATTAGCTTATTTAAAAGGCTTATTTTTGTTGAATAATTTGGCTACGCACCCTGTTAAAACTTTTTCTAAAACCACGATTTTCGATCAATCTTTTTTAATTTTTATGGAAATAAAGTTTGGAATATGAGTTTTTCCTCAATTTAATATTTGTTTCAAGTAGCAAAGATATCTCTCCTCCCGGAGTGCCCTAGCTCCTAAAACTAAAATTTTTAAAGATATTTCTCGTTTAATAGTTAATGGTTCCATTTTAAATTTTTACCGAATTAAAATTTAGAATATTACTCTGAATATTTCGATGCTAATGAAAAGTTACATAAAACAAAAATATTTATTAATGTAAAAAATCCCATACCCTTTTCTAATAATAATAATAATATCCTAGGTATACAATAAATATTAACGTGCTTACCTCTAATGGTGTTTTCACGCAATTAATTGTACCGTTAAATGCATAAAGATTTAAAAGTATGCTTGAAATTTTTTTCTTGAATTTTTGGATTGAAATTTCTTTCAAATTCCTTGAATACGTAATGGGTGATAAATGGATTTGTCATTTTGTGAAGCAACTATCAATCCTGCCAGAACATTCATTCTATTCCTTTTTTTGTAACAATGGTAATTGATTGAGCTATTGTTTTTGAAAACGTTGTTGCAGAACTGTTTGTATGAGTTTTATAAAATTCAGAAATTCTAAGAAAAATTAATTATAATTACTTCATACTTTTTATTTTATAAGAAAATAATAAAATAAATCATGTTTTAACTTTTTAATAATTGTTGTATTAAAAATTACTAAACTTATTTGGTGTTTTTTATTTTAAAAAAAATTATCAATAGAGGAAAATTTTGGGAAACTATTTTTTGTTTTCCCTGGATTTTTATAGATCATTCTTTACTTTCCTCATAATGAACAAAGGGAACTCATTTTCATTTAACACAGCGAAGTTGTAAAATTAAATGACGTATTCAGTTTTTCATACATATACCTTTTCACTTTGAATTGCAGCTTAGGGGTTCCATCATCCCATCTCACTCTATTTGTGTCCAGATATTTCGCCTCTCTCCAAATCTTTCCCATTGTTTTTAATTTGTTTACAATCGTCTTGTGCCAAGTATTTTTAGGTTTTTCCCCTTTTTCTATTGCCTAGAGGGTTCCAATCGAAATCTTGTGTTACTTTAAATTTTACGTNATTGAGAATTTTAAAATTATACTTTTAATTTCAGATCACGTAGATTTTATTGTTTATTTAAGTGTCAGTAAAAAATTGTTTTTATAATTTTTGAGCATCACTCTTTCACTCCTAGGAAACAATTCGATTTTTAAAAAAATGATTGAGTGGAGTAAAGATTATTCATAAAAAAACGTGAGCTAAATTGGCGAAATAGTTATGTTTTTCTTATTTTTCAAAAATGTATTACATGTTGTAAAATATGTATAGTCTTTCTTAGCAGAAATTAACTTCTTTATGTACTTTGATTATATTTGAATTCCATAGACTTGATCCAGGTTTTACAATGTGATAAAATCTTATCCGTTTTAAAAAATCTCATTTTTATAGATTTAAAATGACAAGCTTTGAGAAAGGAATTGTTGATGGTCTATAATTTTGGCTGCAAGCATTTTAGCTCATCATCATAATTAAAAGAAGCTTTATAATAGTGTATGTAAGTAATTCGTTGAAATGTTAAGAAGTATTCTGCGGACAGACATATTTATAACTGCAGTAGACTTCTTCACAACGTGGTTACTTTCCGTCTAGTAGAACATCTCGTTTTATGGAACATTCAATGTTGGACGAACGTTAAAATCATTTATAAATAGCCTCCTTTGATGGCGAGTTGGTTCGCACCCATGAACTCTCATCTCTAAGTTTGTATGCTATTTGTTTGTAAATACTGATGTCACATTTTTCAATGGTTATAGCCTGCGACTTCCTTCTTGTAATTCTGAATCTTAATCTAGGCCTACCATTCTTGTGTTGGATGCAGTTTTCTTTCGTTGCATCATGATGGAATCAACGTAGTTATGTTTAGTAACATGGAATATGTAGATTACCTAAAAAATATTTCTGAGGTTTTAAAATATTGATTGATACCTTTAATTCATTGGTACCTATATTACTGTTCCAAAATTTACTATAGTTGCATCAAAATTAATAATCAGAAAAAAATTTAACCTCGAAATTTTAGTGACATCTCTTTTATTATTTGTACACCTTTTAGGGATCATTAATATGCATCATTTACCCATGTGTTGAATACTTATTTCACTATACAATCCAACTTGTTGATTTCCTAAACATATAATCTTAATATAGTATTTTAAGCGTCAGTCTAGAATGGGCATTAAATAATTGGGTTCAAAATAAGATACCGAAAAATTTTTTTTTAAGCGTATGCATGTAATATACAACTATATTTAGAAGAGAAGTTCTGCTATTTTTCACAAATCTTTAATAAATGGGTTTGAATTTAAATCGCTTTTTTCCGTCGTTTTGTACTTTTATTTGTCGAACTTCGGATGACATTTTAAACTTCATTAGCCGAATTATAAATGAGTCATTTTTCTTGTTGGTGAATCAAAATCATCTCGAAAGACGTCTACAACGTAGCCGTCTTTATCCGGATTGTATCCATGATTGATGCTTTCGTAAATGGACGGATTTGGACTTCTTGATGACGTCGAAGCAAAAATAACTGGCTGCATGCTGACTTGCCCTTGGTCTCTTGCAGCGCTGAACACAATCATTCGATATACTTTCGGGAGATATATCCCTAAGAGTATAGCACTAGCTGTTGCAACTAGACCTAAGCAAATCGTGAATTCTTTCCAACGAGGGTTGAGCAAGAAAAACAGCAAACCCCACATCAGCCATGCCAGACAAACTACTATGCTGGTTAAATGCAAGAGGAGACCTTCTTTGTTGTTTCTAAGATTGCGAATGCAAAATGGTGACGTCATTAACCACACGAAACTTAAAAATATTGGATATGATAAATAGCAAATAGTCATTTTAGTATGAATGGAACATCTGATTATAAGACGAGTGGATTCGTTGGAATTCATCAGCCAATAATAACATGCCATCGCTACCTGAACAGCGAAAATGAAGAAAGACAATATAATCTGCAACAGACCACTAATATGGCCGTGGATTCCATCAGTTTCGGAAGCAATGAGCAGGAAACAACGGGCGAGAATAGGAGCAAGCATGCTTACATAAGCTAATCCTATAATAGCTATTCTCTTGGAACAAGATATGGTGTCATTTTGAAGCAGGAATAAAGTTGAACAGCAGAAGGAAAGCATAACAGCAATAAGCACTGTAACGTTTGCAGCTTGATTGCCTTCCTCGAAATCTTCTCTGCATGCTCTTGATATAAGATATGCTCCAGTGAGCAGAGATATTATAATGCCTACGCAGGAAGTTGTTATCAGTACTGTAATCCACGTCTCATACTTCCAGTAATAGATTCTACTGAGTAAATTTTCCAAGTCAGTTGCAAGAGATATGTTCTCAAAGTTTTCGCATATTTCGTGGCAATTCTGCCTGCAGTGGAATTCTGGTATTTTAAACCATCCAGAGCCCGTAAAGTGGAAAACATTGAGTCTTTTTTTATCCCACTCAAGACGATCATTGCTGAAGTGACCAACCTAAAATGTAAAACGTTGTATAAGTTAACATTTTAAATAAGTCGCAGAGAAAAATGGAGAGTAAGAATGTAACGCATGATGTGCGTTACACTCTTCAGAGTCGAAATGTATCGAAGAACGATTATTGAATAATAAAAAAAAAAGGTTATTGGGAAGTATAGTTCCCTCCTACTGCTATACAGGTTTTTCATCATGATTTCACATCAGAAATAAGGAATTGCAATTGGTTCAGAGGTCCCTTTCTTTCAGCTACTCTGATTGGTAAATGGGCTCGCGCGATTTTCAGCAGAAAATTAATGACATTATGTTAAAAGCTTAGAATTTAAATTTAAAAAATTTCTAATCTACTTGAAAAGTGTCTACATTTTTATTGAATACAATAAACAGGCATGTAGCTTAATTAGGTCGTTATGATGAATTAGTATACTCAATTTGACATCAACTTATTCACTAAATGAATTATATAATAAAAGTTTTATATTCTGGGAATTTTAAAATTATAATTATTGCCAAATTTTAACAAAGCGAAGAGATTAGTTATTTATTTTTGTAAATGACAACAAAATAGCCTAACATCAATTCTGGGAATTTTAAAATTATAATTATTGCCGAATTTTTACAAAGCGAAGAGATTAGTTATTTATTTTCGTAAATGACAACAAAATAGCCTAACATCAATTAAATTTTTAAAAACTGATTTTATGGAATTAATTTTTAATAAGAGTTTTAAACTCTTTTTTTTTCAATTACTATTTGAAACTAACAGCTCAGTGAAATTTTTAAACCACCATACATAATGTTTTTATGCTTACGAAAAATTTTTTTTCCCCCAAATGCCCACCTGTGTTAACATTTTTTTTTCAATTCAGGCATTTACAGGGCATATTTGTTGGCCTCTCTTTCAGGGGCACCGTATTAGGTGAGCCAACGTTGCTCCCACAATAAGGACAGATAGTACAGAGAAAGAAAGAACATCCATGCCTTGCCCGGGATTCGAACCCAGAACCTTTCTGATGCAAGGGCAGTTCCCTAACCCCTACATAGGCCGGTCGGCTGCTTACGAAAAAATTAAACTCGGAAATTTGAAGACCAAATCTTTCGCGCACGATATAAATTTTTCGCTGCTCCTACCTTTAAAACTAATCGATACCTATGTCTGTTGGTCAGATAAAAATGTATTTTGTGAAGGTATAAAATTTGACCATAATAACTTAATTTTAAAAATCTATTAATTAGAATTTACCAGATACATCAACACAGCTGCATGGACTTATTTGTTATCAAATTGTATAATTCTTCTGTTGTTTCTTAACTTGCAACAACAAAGCTTTCCTCTTTACTTCTCTAAAAACAAGTTTTCCTTTTTTTAAAAATCCCAGTTTTGGGAATATATATATATTTCTTTTTTAGAATTTATTTTTGTTAAAATTGAGCTTCGTTTTTAGAACAGTCAATTTGCAAAGGAGTTAGAAGAAGTTCTTGACTGTCGATCCAAGATGATTATTTAAAATGGATACCAATGATGATGATTTAGAATAGTAAGTGTAATATTGCATATAATGGGCTATTGGAAATATAATAAATGACGTTACAAATTTTTTAGTAGAGTGCTCTTAGAGAAAAAATACGACGGTTTTCGCACTGGGAATAAAATGTTTTTGTGCATTGCACGATTATGAAGTGGAAATTTCGAAAATTGTAAAATATCTATCAGGACGCAATAGTAAAGGGCAGTTAGATGTAAAAATACCATCTTTTGAAAAAAAGTTGTAGATCAATGTATGTTCTAAGCCCTATATACGATAGATTTGAATAGTATACTAAGATGAGATTAATGTTAAATATTTGCATGAGTGTTTAGGAAATCTTTGTTATTTTCAATGCTATAGCAATGGGCATGATTAAACACAGATAAATAAATATAAGTGTAGCAAAACAATAAAGAAAAAAATTACTAGCAATTCTTTGTGCTTTGAAAATCTACCAATGGCATGCTGAAATGTCCATATTTCAATCGCATAATTTTCTGGTATTCCTCTTGTTTCATTTCTTGCACTGGATTTCTTTCTAGTCGCTTGATTATCCAATTCTTCATCTAGAATTAATATAAGTGAAAAAAATTTCTAAATAATATAGGGTTAGTTATAGTAAATCTAAATTATTCATCTAGTTACAAAGTATTGTTCATTTACTTGTAGTATGCAACGCTCAAAAACGGGTGATAAATTGAAAGAAAGATACATTCTCCGCCAGTGTTTGGTATACACTACAAATGTTCAGTGTGTGTAATTGTAATAATAGCTGAAAACAATTTGGAATGTATTAGGTATAAATTTTTCCCCATCGTTTCAAAGAATGTAATTTTACATGGCAAAATTCAAAATTTGAGCGAAATCGGTTGAATAGTTCTTGGAAAATCGAATTTCAATTATACGACTTCATTAAAAATCGATTTTTTAGGAACTATTGAACCGATTTTGCACAATTTTAGTATTTTGCCATGCAAAATTACATGCTTTAAAATGATGGAAAAAATTGATATTTTGCAATCCAAGTTTTTCCGACTATTATTAAATAAAATAATAAATATTTACTAAAATATTTTTTTGCGTGAAATATTCTTTGGATAAACGAATTTTATAATTGCGGCAAAAACTTTTCAATTCGTTTACAAATTCTTGAGATAAGACGAAATTTTCAAAATTTTAAATTAACATTATGGGATCTATATGGGAAACTATGGATACCATATTTCCCAGATTGTATCTACCCCTATAATTTGGGGGTCTAAAAACCCGAATCAATTGAAAAATGGGTACATTTATTCAGAGAAAGTACATTTTTGTGTCTGATTTCGTAACTTCAAATATCGCCTGCACTTATTAATTAGCATATTTGAGGCCACCTCCTTGAGTCATTTCATTAAGAATAGGTCCTAAAACGTGAAGATCTGACCATTTTATCAAAAGTTATTCAGGATGGTCCATTTTTTTTGGCGTACTGTACTTGTAAATAAACAGCTCATTGAAGCTCGATGAAACATTTGGATAGCCCAGTATATTAAATTTTATTATATAATTATATGGTATTATGGAATAAATTACCTTTCGTTGCATTATTTTGTGTTGCATCAATTATGAGACCCTTTAGAGAATTTTCAATGATGTGCCACAACGAGCCTCGAGTCTGAAACTGGTGACTTTGGCAGCGATTATCATCAAAAAGGGTGTCACTTCCATTTCTCACGCAGTTGTTGGTGTAATCGATGTAACTTTGTACTGGATTCAAACGGCTAATTTTTTCTTGAAACTTGTAATTTGATAAGACCCTGCTATCAACAGTTGGAATATTGATGGGTGTTCTTCTCAACAGTATTACCGGGTGATCTGGGCCAAATATAATCGATAACAATGAATCTGTTGAATCTGAGCCGGCTACAAGCCAGTATTGAATAGAAGAATTCATGGCAATGGATGTCTCATATAGTTTTCGTAGATCGATCCCAGATCCCAAAACCACAGCAACTTGAACGTTTAACGTTGATATTTCTCGAAGCTTTTCTTTTAAATTACTCTCCGATTTGCTACAATAGAAGTGATTAAAGAAACATCAGTATTTTCAACATTTGATTGCAAATAATTTTTAATTTCTTATGCTATTTTATTTACTAAAAATGTAACATATTTTCTTAGATAATGCTCAATCGGGAATTTTTCGAACATGTTTAAAATTTATATATTAACAGTATCGCACGAAAAAAAAAAACCGTTTTGTTGCATTCTGTTTAGCCAACTAAATTTATTTTTATCCGGTAACAAATTGTTCAGGGTGTACTGCTAACTGTAAAAACTTGAAAACAATGTTTTTTGTTGTTTGTTTGACCATTTCAACTGAAATATTTCATCGGGTGACTAAATAATTATTAGTTGCAATTAATTTCTCCCTTAGTCTATATGCTAACGTTGTTGCAAATCGTGATTATTTCATTCTGAAAACTTGTAACGTCCGTGTTGATTGGCAACGCCAATTGGCCGATTAACGGGCATTATAAGTCAAACTTGATAAATTTTTTTATTTTATTTACACCTGTTTGGGTGAACGAGTTGTCAACCCTTAGGGAGCAGGATTTTCGAATTCTACGTCATTTCGCATTTTTTTTTCACTTAACACACCTTATTAAGAATAATAAAAATCTCAACAATTTGTATTATTTTTAATAAGGGGTGTGGGCATCGTCCTTAAATAAATTATTGTAAGAATTTACTGTTTAAATAGAGCTGTCACTTGTACTTCAGTGCTAATGTGTTTTTCTAATTTCATGTGATGCTTGTTTTCACCTTTCACACATTATCACATTTTGTGTGTTAACCTTTTTGATCTCGACATGCATTTTTAAGTTAGCAGTGCCATCTGCTGATGAACTTTGCAACTAGTTTTGATTTTAGATGTGTCCGAAGTCGCTATTATCCTAAGCAGAACGTAGTAAAATGTACGTTCCAATCTCCTTTCGATCTTTAGTACATTATTATTCATTGGCCATCTTTATGATAACTAATATTTTACGAACATCATCAAATAATTAATTATTCATAAAATTGTTCATATTTTATCGAAATGCACTTTGAATAATATTTTGAAATTTCTTAAACTAAAATATAAATTATGTTTGAAAATCAAATTATCTCTGAAAATAAAGAATGTGGATATATGCTGTTAACATAAAAATTTTACGGACTAAACGTTACCTTGAACCTGATTACGAACCTTGAATCAATTGATAAAATAACTGAAGATGCAATGCAAATATTTTTCTTCTGAACTTCTTCCCTGAACTCCAGGTCTAAAACTTTGGTAGAAGAAAACACCGCTACTGACATCCATTTTAAGTCTAAGAGCACTTCTGACAAAGCCTTTAAAACAATACAATAACGAGTATGATTTACTATATCTTAGTTTTACAAGCATAAAATTAAAATAAGTTAGATTCTTTGATTATACTTTGTATTTTATAATATATTCTGAATTGGATTACCACTGAGAAAAAAGATGATTTCGTTCCAATTTAAACTCTAAAATAAAATTGAGGGAAAAATTTTGATAATTTTTTTTCTTCTTCCAAAAAGCATTTTTGATATTTTTTTGACAAAAGTATTTACTATTTAGCATTATTAATCACTTTCATAACATAAAAAGTATCAGGAAAGTAACNGAAAATTATAGCTTAATATTGTTCATGGGTTAAATTTAGTAGGAACAACACAACCTGTGACGTAGGCTATATTACACCCAATTGAGGGAAAACTTTTGATAATTTTTTTTCTTCCAAAAAGCATTTTTGATATTTTTTTGACAAAAGTATTTAATATTTAGCATTATTAATCACTTTCATAACATAAAAAGTATCAGGAAAGTAACAAAAGATATTTTCAAAAGGTTTCTTTCTTTTTTTTATTTTATAATACATTGATGGTGGAAAAAATTCAGCATTGGGTTTGTCGAGTGCTGAAAAAATAAAATAAAATAAAATAAAAACTTTCGATGAATTTTAAGAGTCTTTAAAAATAGGCTCACCTAAGCAAAAACAAAGTGCAGTACAACGAGACAGATTAAGAAAGCAGACGACAATTTTAGAACTTTTAATAAGTTGATTGATTCAGGCGGATATTGTGTGATGTAGTGAACCTGTTATGGGAAAGGATAAGACAGGTTGAGAAATGTGATTGACTACCCGTTAGAGGATTAGAAAATAAAGGAGATTGCTTGAAAAATTTTATAATATTATCACTTAAAACATTTTCCACAGTTTAATTAGTTTTGAGGTCTTACGAATGATAGAATTGAGAATTTACTTAGAAATGATTAAAAGTTTCCTGGTTCTTAAATGAATTTTACTTTTATACTCGGATTTATATTTTATACTGATATGTGTTATTAGTGGTCAAGCATTGGAATCCGTTTCTAGAACTTGAATGATTGATATCAAAATTATGCCAAGCCTGGTGTGTTTTATAAAGGTTAGTACTTAATGTATTTTGTTACAATTCATGTAGTTGATGTATTGGTAAAAGTTTACAATAAAGTGTTCCCTTATTTTGGCAATTTCTTATGTTCATTCAGAAAACAGAGAAAATTACTTAAAAGTGAGACTTGTTAATAATAAGAAATCACGATAAAAATAATAGAAAAATGGACGATTTCATGCAACCAATCCAAGGTATCATACACTAACCTACACATTTTACTGTTCTGTTATTAAATCAATAGAATTGATTATAGTTGTTAAGGGCGTTTCTCTGTTTTGTATGCGAACATAAAATCGCTAAAATAAGAGGATACTTTTAATTGTAAATTTTTACTCAAGGCTTAAACTTTTGACTGCTTTCTTGACTAAATATTCAGAACCACTTTTTTTCCAGATAGTGGTTTCGTTTATTTTCAGAGGAAAAAATTGACATTCTTTAAAAAAAAAAGTTTGCTTATTCAGAAAAAAATAAATTGTGCTCCTGATATTTGTTTTTGTTCCTTAAAATATTATCTATACTAATTAATCTCAACGCATCTCATGAATTCTCTTCTAGCTATTAAGATTGCATCCTAGTTCTTGAAAATGCGATCATAAGATCTAAAGTTACTCCGAGTAGCTCGTTTCTTGCTCAACTGTACCTTATAATGAGAAAAGCTTAATATATTGATTCAGGACGTATCTTCGAAATTTCTGTAAAAACAAATTATTTCAAAATTTGATAAAATAGTACCTATTACTTATTATTTTTGCTTTTTAACATTTACTTCAAATTTTATTTTTTAATATTTTAAAATAATTTCTTACTGTTTTTTTTATTAAACAAAAACAAATTTCAAATTAAATTTTTTAAACGTTTTTAGAGTAATTTTAAAATTATTTTCATTCCAACAATCTTATCTTCCATGTTAGGAATAATGACTGAGATGTTTTTTTATGTAATTTGATCCAGTAGCAATATTTCTTGCGAACTTATTTTACAATCGCATTACGTATTCTGTAACTTCTTGTAAAAGTGTTCTGTACTTACTATTTATTAGATCTGAGAAGAAAATTTATACTGACTTCTAATTCCCTGGCAAGTTTTTTACTACTTGTTAGTTTTTGTAACAGAGAGAAAAATAAATCCCGTAGTTCCCTGTAAAAGTATTTCACTGCTTATGAGCTCGTAACGCTGTGAAAACAATAGATAACCTGTCATTCCATGCAAACAAAATTCATTGCTGCATTCTACTAGCTTTCGAAGTTGGGAAGAAAATACATATCCTGTAATTATTTGCAAAACATAAATCTTTGCTAACATTGGTAGCACAAAAGGAAATAATGTCTTTTTTTAAGTTAATTGTTTGAAATCAAGATATGCCCTCCCTAGTCAAGGGGAGAACGAAGCTGACAGCTGACGAAAAATAGTATTATGAAATTTTTTTTTTTAATATTATTTTTTACAACTAAGTACCAAGCGAAATACTTTTAAGTGAAAATATTTGCTTTAAGTGAAAATATTTCAGTTTTTAAATACGTAATTTTAGACTGAATTTTAAACATTATAAAAAAAAAAAACTTGCAGACTTTTTGTTTTATTCAGTAATTTGTTCAGTTTCCCTGATATCAGTATTATATAATATTAGTCTAACATTAGCCTAAATATTGAAAGATTATCAATTTTACAATACGCCCCCCAAATATTGTACGTAGGATTATGAGATGACCAGGGGCGGATCCAGAAATGTTTCCTGGAGGGGGTCATATACTCTGATCCTCCCCACACACATACACACACAATAAATTTTTTTTATAAAAAAAAAGAATTTAAATATTTTTTTTGAAAAAAAGAAGAAAAAAAACTGAGGTTTTTAATGCTAGTCTTCTCATTTATTTTTTTCATAATGAACAATAGAACATTACATAAATAATTCAAGTATTCAAAATCTTTAAATAATAAATGTAATGCGTTTTTCAGAAACTTTGGTAAATGTGTCAATGATTTTTTCAACAATTTCTCGATGAATGTTTAATAATGCGTGCGAGTCCATTAAAATTCTCAATAACATATCGATTGATGGGTACAAATCGATGTCACAGGCATTAATAATCTTGGAAAGGGCACTTCAAGTCCTGCTTTTTCTTCACGCTGCCATTTTGCAAAAAAAAAAAAAAAAAANAAAAAAAAAAAAAAAAAAAAAAAAAAAAAAAAAAAAAAAAAAATCGATTTTTCCGACCTATGTTTATCCCCCTTTAGATAATTTTTAAATATTTATTTCTTTTGTAACCTATTAAAAAGAATTATTATTTTTATTTATTTATTTTCAATTTGGGGGAGGGGGTCATGACCCCTATGACCTAAGATCTGAATGTTTTGCAGCAAAAATTATCCCACACGGTCCCGACGTATCCCATGAAAATTGTAGACTGAAATACTCACTTTGATTTCTTCTTTCAACGACGTGATTTGCAATGGAAAGTAAGATATCTTCATGGCTTCTAACAAAATTTGCATATTTCTTTGCAACGTTGTATTAAGTGGACCAATCACACCTAATGAAAAAAAAAATCCTTAATGAGTAAAAATCATAAGATTTTCATAATCTGATGGGAAAAAAAAATCATAATACCAGTATATTGAAGAGCTCCGCATTCTTCATGCACAGAGTGAGATGATTTCAAAGCCTGCATGAGATTTAGCAAAGCAACAGAAGTCTTTAAACAAGTGTCATATACCTCAAAACCTAAATTAAAATATTTTAAACATTATAAATATATGCATCTGAAAACGGATTCGATCACAAATTTATTAAAAAATATCTCAGGATAATGAGCATACTTTTGTATCAAGTTCTATAGCGAATAGGCATGTCACTGAATGCGTAAACATCACTGAATACAAATAAAATAAAATAAAGATAAGACGTGTGACTTCCCAATATAATTACTAAATGATATTCGGGGATAGGCGAGAAGGGGATAGAAACGTTTCGTTGCATAATAAACACTATTATTGTAAAAACAATTGCTTTCTCTTTATATGCAGAAAATAAAAAAATGATGTGCAGAGATGCCTCATCTTAATGAAAATAGGGCATACTTTGTGCTATGTATGAAATAAACTAAGCAGCGAGAATAAAGTACAAATAATGGCACAAGAACTCTTGTTTGGTTCTAGAAACAAGAATCTATAAGTAGGGGTAAATTAAGAATGAGACGTCATAGATTTTGAGAGGATTTGCTGGCGTAAAGTAGAAGGGAGCATGTCCAAGAACGGCATTCTTCAAGGATAACAAGAGGGATTTCTGAGGTAAGAGGGGAAGTCATGTGAAGCTAACTCATCATATGTTACAGCTCTACTATAGCAGAGGGGTTATTTTAATTCATTTTTTTTACTTGGAAAATTCTTTTGATTTGATTTCTTTTATCACAGCTTCAATTGTTTTAAAATTTAAATCTTAATTTGAAATATAATCTTATTTTTTAAACCAGGGTGTTATAAATTTTTCAAATAGGATTTCAAAATTACATTCAATATTTTTCAAATCGTATTTTTCAATTTATATTTATTTATTTTCGTACAGTACATAAGTGGTAAGGATTATATGGTGGAGAACTAGCAGTGATGAGTTCGATCCTGGAAGTCGTCAAAACTACAAAACAACTGATTTGTACTCGCAGCAAGGTGCACCTGTCATGACTAAAAGTCCTTGTGGTGTGGAAGTTTGGAGAGAGGGGTGCCGGCTCAAATGCTGTCCTCGTCGTCAGACCGGGGGAAATCACGAGGCATTCCTGCCATGTCTTCTAAAAGATAGAGTCCTAAAATGTGACTAGCTTGTTTGACCAGGGTTGCGTGATGTGTGTGAACCGAGTCAACGCAGATTAAACGAGCAAATTTTTTATTTTATCTTGCATGCAATGCTTATACGAGGCCAATGACATCTGTCTTAATTTTATAAAAATTATAATTCTAATTTTGAAAATAATTCATTTAAAAATAATTCATTTAAAAATAATTCATTTAAAAATAATTCATTTAAAAATATTAAATTTATAATTTAAAAAAGATACAAAAATTCAAATCCGAAAATTTTCTGCGACCGAAAAAAATAAAGAAAGATAAAGAGAGAGAGTTTTAAATGAAAGATTCCCTATAATGGACTCGCCTTCTCTTCATCATCCACGCCAACAAATCCTCTCAAATCCGCAGCGTCGTATTCTTAATATGCCATTTCTCAGTGTCTATACATAGAACAAAAGATTTTTCTGTTATTCTGCATAGTTACATTTAGAGGAAAAATCTTGTTTATAGAACTGAAACAAGAGTATGTCCATTTTTGTACTATTATTTGTGTTTTACTCATGATATGAGTAAGGCTAAAGCTGATATAAAGCTAAATCACCACTCTCTTAAAGTTTGAAAGAAATTGTATTGTAACTACCGCGAAAAGTGCTTTGTAGTTTAAAGAAAAATGCTTAAAGACATAGATGCTCACTGTAGGATGGTTGGTTAGTAACTCAGAAATCTGAATCCTCACTCCTCAATCAACTATAATCATTGTAGAAAAAGGCGTATGTAGGAAGCATTAAACAATTTATTACTTTAACGTTTCCTTTTAGTGCTTCAACAATACTGTACACGCATTTTTAAAATAAATAATTGTTTAAGCAACCAGCTTTCGATCACTCAAAACATTCGAATCTGACTTTTCAGATCATGCTTTTCATAAATTAGTTTTCTTCTGTTTTAATTAGTGGCGCTAGGCTTTATTTTTAAACATTTAATATTTTATCTTTGAGGGTTTTTAGAGTGATTGGTTGATAAATTTTAATACTTTTTTGAATGAAAAAAAAACGCTTTTTAAAAGTAAAGAAAAATTTATAAAAATGATCTTAACATCAGTATTTACCTATCTCAGAAGCATTTAAGTCCGATAATACCAGTTGATTTTCAAATTGTCCGATAGCCATCATCACTTGTTCCACGCCCCCTGGTATTAACAACTCGCAATTTTCTCCTTCGTGAACATCAAAGAATCCGATGAATCGCAAATCTGTATCTTTCCCTCTCTTCTCTACTAATGGCTGCGGCAGAGCATCATCGTCCATGCAAATCTCAGCAGTAGTTTTATTAAATGCAGTTACTAATTTTATTAGAAAAATGAAACATACAAAACTCCTCATGTTGTGATTCTGTAAAATCAGAAGAAAAAAGATACATGCATTTAAAATATAAAGTAATCCATAATTACGTGTAAAAACACTTCTTTTTAAGACTAAAAAGTTATTCTTTAAAACCTATTAAAGTTTTAAATTTGAGAATTATTTGATGTGATATATTTAATTTAAAACACGAAGTTTTTAGAGTTTTTTTGTTGCATTAAAAAAATTTTTGTGTTTAAAGTATTGAGCATATCTATTCACCGACTTTATATAAGGCTGCTTTCAATTGAAAAAAGAAGCTTTTCTTAAAAAAATTATCTATTTTAAACTGATTGTCTACACTAAACCATCATTAACTACGTGTGCCAAAAATGGTTGTCAGTTTGATAAATCAATTAAAGAATAATGAAAGGGAATAAGTTTGATACTTCTCTTCTCATTGGTACGACAGCCCAGGATGGGCCTTGGCCTTCTCAACAAACCTATGATACAAGTTTGATACTGCCTTGGACAAAAATGTTTTTTTCATCAAGTTTCAAAATTCTTTACTAATTTTAACATCAAAAAAGCGTTGCCTAGGAAAATTATGAAACGTTTTCTGCTTCTTGTCAGACCATTCCAACTGTGGAAGTGCTTTTTTAAATTTTAACATCAGAATTAGACTACACAAGATATTTGCTAAAAATTGAGGTAATTTCGGAATTTTTTTTAATACCTTTTCTCAGTTAGCACTGCTATCTATTGGCTAGTTTGGTAACCGATTTTGAGACTTGGTAGGTACTGGTTTCATAAGCAGGACGCAGCAAACTGAACACTTTTGTCACCTTCTGTTTAAGTAATCTTTTATATAATTTTAAATTTTTTGACCACCTTTTATCAATTAATCTTGAAATTAAATGGCAGTTCTCCAAAAGCATAGAAAACTTTAAGTTACGAAATATGGGATTAATAGATTCTAAACAATTCCAGAATATGCTTCGATAATCAATAAAGTCTATGAAATATGTAAAATGTTTAGCTTATTTTTTGGGTAACTATACATGAAAATTTAATATCAGAATAGTATAAATATTTCAATTAAAATTAGAAGTATTTGAAGTATTTTTATTGTTTAACTTATTATAAAAATGTTGTTTTTTTTTTTTTCATTTTTTAAATACAGTCCTAAGATATTACCTCTATATTTGTAACGCACTTCACCAGCTGGAGAGTTGTTATTCTCGTAATATAATATATTCACCTTATTTGGAATAAATCCAAAATGGAACGTATTACATAGAATATTTTCTTATGCTAATAATAGCAGTGGATTCTAAGCACATTCTTTAACAGAAATAGAGAAAAAATCTATGTCAAACCCTGGTAACATAGTGCAAAAATAAGGTCACAAAATACTTTGTATTCAATGCAAGATTTAATATGACAGTGTTTGTATTCTGTAAGTTTTTAGGATAAAAAGAAAATGCAAAACGACTTGAGCATTTATCAGATTTTAATAATCCCTCATAATGTAGGTAAGACATTTGTATAAAAAAATATATTTGTTGACAAAAGAATAGAAATGCGTGATAAAATGTAATTAAATATTTTCTAAATTAAAGATGTTCAAAGTTAGTGTTCAATTCAAGAATTTAGAATTATTTGAATTTAAATTAGAAATTTAACAAATAGACATATAATAATAGTTTATCTTTCAAACAATAGTTAAAGATAATTTTCGACCTAAATCTCTGTCAATTTGTTCAATTATTATTAAAAAGAACATGACACCAATTTGATTTTCGAAATTTATTGTATAAACGTAATAATAGTATGTCCCAATTAAATAAAACCACCTTGATTTCGCCATAACTGGGGGCAAAGGAAACCAATGAGAATCAAATATTTATATTTAGAAAGTCTATTAACAAGTGTTTTTAGACACATATTTACAAGGTACAACTCATTTTCTGACCCACCTGAACAGGATAGAAAAATCGAACAAGTAAATAATGAGGAAAGTGTCCCGTCGAACGAAATGCAGCCACTTCTAATTATGGATAATATTTCCGAAATGTTTATTAAAATAAACTTGAAATAAATGCGTACCATTTACTAAACCCTGAAAGGCATTATCATTAATATTAATCCATGTTTCAATGATGGTAACCTTCAGTTCTGCCACCAACTGAAACTGCTACTTTTTGGAATATACAGTCCTACTGATGATATCCCTGCGTTTTCTTTGGGATATAGTTCAGGTAAAAGGGCAAGCCATTCATGACACGCACTCTATTATCCAAAAACCAGCACTATGGAGATTTTGCAACGTAAATAGATTCGTGATTTTGCTAGATAATCCGAATTGGGCCATCAATTATCCCTGCAAAAGGCACTAAACGGATTTCCAGAAATTCGTGATTATCGGCAGTTTTCACAGTCTGGGAGAACGGCTAGGTTAAGTTTAATACTACAGCTGGAGGCCTTACTACACATTTAACGAACCTCCACCTTAAAGTATAAGGAATAATATATTTTTTTCCCTTCTCCATACTATTATAATAGCACACATAGCAGTCTGTGCCATCGTAATTCTTTTATTTTCTAAAATGCTTCGCTTTTGGTTATCTTTCAACATGGGCTACTGTACCCAAGAAAACGTGAAGGGATATCCTCACTAACGCTGTATATACAAAAAAGAAGCATTTTTATTTTTGTTGTTGTAGTTAATTTACGTCGCACTAGAGCTGCACAATGGGCTATTGGTGACGGTCTGGGAAACATCTTTGAGGATGATCCGAAGACATCTCAATTTTGATCCTCTGCGGAGGGGATGGCGCCCCCGCTTCGGTAGCCCGACGACCTGCACGCGAAGTCGAGCACTTTACGGTAGAACAGTTTAACGAGGACCAATACCGCACACCCTCGGTCCCTACGCAGACTGATCCAAGAGGTCACCCACCCGCACACTGATCGCAGCCAGTGATGCTTGAGGTGATCTACTGGGAACCGTGTCTTAACGATCAGTCCACAGAGGGACTTTAGTTTGTGATAGAATTGAAGAGTGCGATAATCGAAATTTGACGTTATACTGATGTCATTTTCTTCCTTGGATTGGTAAATGGTATGCAATATTGCATAATTTAAGTCATATAAAAAAAATAGCGGATATTTTGGCTATAGTCAAAAGTGACTTTATCTCGGCAAAGCCCTCCCCCCCCCCTCTTTTTTTTTTTTACTTATTCGATGTTTTATTCTGTCCAGGTGGAGTTAAAAGTATGGAAAAGATTTTCTCAACCTAAAAGTTTGGTTCTCATTGGTTTTGTTTGCAAGGCGCAAAATAACAAGGTTTTATTTGAGTAGTTATCATTATTCGTAAAAAAAAAATCAATGCGTAACAACGATTTACAAAATAAAAATAATTAATTTTTATTCATAAATGGCTGAATAATAAAAACGAATGTTTCTCGAAACGCGTTTTATTTAAATCTCCTGGATTTTTGTTACAACCACCCATAACTTGTAATTTTAAAATCCTTGTCTAAAATTAAGTTGGATATTATGGTGATCAAGGCTTTCAAATTTATAATTTAGCGTGGAAAAACTACTCAACGAGGAATCACTACAGAGAAAAACGAGACCAAAAATATCAAAACATGTTTGATTGCTGGAGGAAACAGAGACCGGTTGAAAGGTGATTATTAGAAATACTTACAAATTTCTTCAGGAAACGTTCTGATGTTTTTCATTCCGTCTTCCTTCACTACTTTCACTCCAGACTTCGGCAGAATTTTTTTCTCAAATATTAATTTGTGACTCTCTAAGTGCATATATTTTAAACTTTAATTTTGACAAAGATTTTAAATTATTTTAAAAGGATTTAAGAATATCATCAATTGCTTTGATAACGACAATGCCGATTTAATAACATGTATACACATTTAGACGGTTCTAAATAAATGGTTAACATTAGAAAAATTTTATTGCAATTTTTTTTTACAACAGTCAAAATATTGCAGTGTAAAAATTTGTAACTTAAAATGTCTAAATATATATCTTGTTTTATTCAGAAAAATGTAAATATGATATTTATTTGAAAATTAGGAACTTACTACACACCTTTTTCCCCAAAAATAAATAAATAAACAAAAAATATTAAAAAAAAAATAAAATTTAATTCTAACAATAAAATGCTTTTAAGAATTTTGTCATGGATATTTTAAGTTATTTAAAGCAGAGGATAATTAACGCTATTATTTTTAAAACAAAAAATTTTGTTTTTAACAGTAATTGCATGTTGGCGGTGGTGAAACGTTAGTCAGACTAATTTTTTTCTCTCAGTTTTTACTTGTTGAACGAGTACAATTTATAAAAGCAAATTCTAGATATATTGATTTAAATATTAACTAAAAAAAACTTCATTTCGCGATTGATTCATAAAATCTGATTTCGATTGAAATTCCAAATAAAAATTCTGGAAATTTCTAATCAAAAGTTCAAGTAGACATCGAATATTTATATAAACAAACAACTATCTAAATTAATTTCGGATCGACCGGATGACGTTGTGTGAACAAACATACAACAGTTTGCTATAAATTTATGTCTTCTAAATTTGCGTGAAATTTTTGTTAATATGTAAAAAAAGAAATTATTAAATCTACTTACTTAAATCCCAAGAGAATTTCAATTTATTATTTAAATAAACAGTTATCCAAATATGACTTGGGTGTCTTAAGATATTCAAACCGGATTACTCGTTTCATGAAACATCTTAAATTATGGCCGTGATAATAAACATCGCTGCCGGTTGGTCATTTCAGAAGTTATGGTAACTATTTTTCCCCGCACGCTATGGAGATATCGGAAAACAAAGATATATGCTCCACCTTCTTAGACCTTTACCTACAAAATTTTTCTATTCTATATTCGAATAAAAAAAGAACATCATCCTTAGTTTTGCATTCAAGAACCGCACTTTAAGTTGCTATAGCAACGAAGTCACAACAAAGCCTTTATTTTTTAATGATAACCTCCAGGAAGGGAATAACTCAGTCCTCCCTCTTATTTTAATTGAAAAGATGTTTGACATTTTAACTGACCGCAACAATTATAAATGCCAGGTTATGCATAATTAGAAAATGAACAAGGGAAAAAAAAATCAATGTTAAGGGGGAGGAATGGTAGCTCTTAAAGAGCAGTATTAGTTGCTGATTGTTGCTCGAACAAGTGTTTCTAGAGGTAGCACATAAGGAATAAAACGGATAGGGTGCTTAAAGGTTTTATTTTCAACTGCTAGTACTAACTTTATATCGTAGCTCAGTATTACGACAAAGGTTTCTTGAGTGATAAAAAAAATTAACCTTTGATTTAGTAAGTCAAGCGACTCGCCGCAAATTGGTTCAAATAAAATTTATTGTACGGAATACTTGATCTCTCTTTACATTTTTAATTTGAAAAAAAAAAAAAAATGCTTTGGTACGAATGTTAATTATTACGTATTATTAAATTTTTTTCATTTCAATTTCAGCATTTTTCTACATATGTTTCTTTATTTATTATTAAAAATTAAAGGTTTTCTCACACTTTATTATTCACATCCGGCATTTGGCTCTATTTATGGATTTAAATATGCAAAAATTAACATTTTGAGTTTTCCCCTTTACTAGGCGTGCAAACGATATTATTCCCTCACTTTTTAATGGACTAAATGTAATTACTAACGTTTCTTCTTTTGCTTGTGACTTAAGAGTTCATCCGGCTTGTTTGCAATATTTTCCGTACCCTTTGACAGCAAGACACTTCAATTTTGGATTATTCTGCTTTTTGCTCTTCATACAATGATTACTTAATAAAAACGTTTATTTTTCCTGATCGATTAGTGTGATAGTATAGTACAGTTGTTGCAAATAAATGTTCCAAATTAATTTTGAAAAATAAATTGCGAACTAAAATGTTAAAAAAAAAACATTAAAAAAAAATAATAAAATAAAATATATGGAGGGAAATCAACATCTAGTTCGAACGCTGTTCTCAATATTCTAACTTAGTACGACTAAAATTTATCATAACATATTTTTTAAACATTATCTATTTCTAACTACAGTCGGACTTCTATTGAACAAACTTCCATTTTGCGATTGTTTTCGAGGAACCAAGAACACTTTCGAAATTTCTTCCTAAAATAACTTCCAAATAGCGAAGTGAATTTTCTATTTAACGAACTTTCCTTTCAGATCTACTTTCTTATTTCTCAAAATATTTCAAACATGTAAACGCATTTTATAGGGGAAATGACCTTTTTTCATGGACACTTAACTTTCAGAGAAAGCAGTAAAATCCCTTTACCTTTTTTGTTTGCATTTCAAACGATGACAAAATTAATGGATTTTATCAGTAGACAATTAAACTTAAGAACGCATGTGGTAATGTAAGTTTAAAATTACTTTCATAATACATGCAGCTATAGTTTTATACACAAATTTTTTTAGTTCAAAATGTATATAGTACGATAGTGTAACTCTGGATAATGTTTTGCTCTAGTCTTGCTTTCCATGCAGACTTCTTTCATGGTTAAGATTTATAAAATAAATAGTTGATACTAGTTTACAAGACAAAGGTGTATCAAATACTATTTTAATTATGTCTAGTGTTAATGAATTTAAAACCTGTTTTCTGTTGTTTAAATATTTCAAAGGGTGATTTTCGATTTAACGAATTTTCCATATAACGAAGTTGTTATTGGGATTTAGCTACATCGTTAAATAGAGGTCCGACTGTATATATAAAAACCTAATGAAGGTGTTGCGGTTTTCCATTACTGTCAGTACATTTTTTGTTGGTCAGAAAACCACATTGTGGTGTTACGGATACAAATATTTAAATTGTTACAGAGTTAATTAGTTGTTAAGCAGTAATCTCACAAACTAACTAAATGTGAAAAAAACATTTGAAATGAAAGAAAACGCCCTCTATAAAATGCGCAGTAGGAAAAAAGGATAGTAAAAGTAGATTACGTAACAGATTAATATAATGCTCAACTGGGGCTGCTCAGTCAAGATTAATTACAATGAATTAAAGAGGGCCGGGATAGCCTGGTCGGTAGGGCGCTGGGCCCATATCCAAGAGGTCGTGGGTTGGATCCTCGCCGGCCGAAGACTCCCCGTGTAGTCAATGGTGACTGATGCACGTTAAATCTGTCGAGTCTCAAAGTCCTCCATGTTCCCACAACAAATCAATACCTCTGGGGGTACTGATCCAGGAGTTTCCTTGTCTTCTGGATTGGTTCAAAATTACAAGGCTACGGAGTTGAACGTAAGTAGTCGTAAACCCATNTTTATGAGTAGCAATTAAACTTAAGAACGCATGTGGTAATGTATGTTTAAAATTACTTTTATAATACATGCAGCTATAGTTTTATACACAAATTTTTTTAGTTCAAAATGTATACAGCACGATAGTGTAACTCTGGATATAAATAGTAGATACTAGTTTACAAGACAAAGGTGTATCAAATGCTATTTTAATTATGTCTAGTGTTAATGAATTTAAAACCTGTTTTCTGTTGTTTAAGTATTTCAAAGGGTGATTTTTGATTTAACGAATTATCCATATAACGAACTTAGTATTGGGATTTAGCTATATCGTTAAATAGAGGTCCGACTGTATAGATAAAAACCTAATGATGGTGTTGCGGTTTTCCATTACTGTCTGTAAATTTTTGTTGGTCAGAAAACCACATTGTGGTGTTACGGATATAAATATTTAAATTGTTACAGAGTTAATTATTTGTTTAGGCAATTGGCATATTAACATGGTGAATAAATTAAAGACGAAGAATATGTAATTAGTAAGCGAGTCCTATGTAATAATTTAATTAAAAGTTTGTGGCTTCTGAAATAATCAAATAATAAATCTGGTATAGTACTGACAGTTCGACCTGTTGGTTATTGCGGATTTTCTACTTCTCATTTGTACAACCAGTACTATATCAAATATATTATTTGATTATTCACAATCCTACTAACTTTTAATTAAATTATTACAAATGACTCCCTAATTCTTTGTTTTTAATTTATGAACCAGTTTAATAAACCAATTACCTAAACAAATTAAAATATTAACCCATTACAAATTTAATATTTTGATCCGTAACAGTAGGATCCAGTTTTCGTATATTAATCTTTATATCCATCAGCATGTCCAGCATCCATCTGCTTTTGGTTACCATCAGCATAAAATTAAAAAAAAAAAAAAAAAAAAAAAAAAAAAAAAAAAAAAAAAAAAAAGCCGAAAAGGTATTGCTTTTTTTAAAACTATTTGTGTATCCCAAATTTAAAGTTATTTACCTATAATATTTAATTTTCATGTAGGGGTCAGGGAACTGATCTTGTATCAGAAAGGTTCTTTGTAGCTGACCAGAAAGGTGCTGGGTTCGAATTCGAGAAAAGGCATAGATGTTCTTTTATTCTCTGTACCATCGATCTTTACTGTGGGAGCAACGTCGGTTCACCTAATAAGGTGTCCCTGAAATAGTGGCAAATATATCTGCCCTAATATGCTTGCATCGACAAAGGTCAACCCAGGTGGGCATTGGGAAAAAAAATTATTTCCCTTTTTATAACCGTTCTTGAACAGTCGACCAAATTTTTTTGGGGGGTTTACAACTAACGTTCAACTCCGTAGCCTTGAAATTTTGAACCCAATCCAGATCACAAGGAAACTCCTGGATCAAATGTTGGGAGAAATTTGCCGTCGTGAAAGACTCTTTGATAGAACTAACCCGCATTTGTGTTACATGGAGAGCAAAACCTCCCACTATCAGCCTGACGGCAAGGAGACTCTAACCCATGATCTGCCTGCCACTGAGGATATTTGACGTCAGCACTGAGGTCGGTGTAAGCTGGGTGCGGAATTCGTATTGACCAGTCACCACTAGGATTCGAGCGCTCTATCCGAGCCACCATGACTCACTTATTTTACTTTGATAGTGTTGCTATTTTGATTGTTTTCGAAATTAATTTAAGAACAGTTGTTGCATTATTATAACACTGACAGCCTGCAGCGACCAGCTGAATGGTTTATACATACCATATTCAACACTTAGTGCCTATCTTGGTAAAAACGTGTTAATTAACATTACTTTCCATTAGGCTAATTACAAAATATCTAAATGAATCTTCATTTTTCCGTATTACCCAAAAAGAACGCATGGACCAAATTGGAGACTCTTATCGTGCTAAAAAAGCATTGTTTAGCTAACGGTCATTTGGCTAATTGCATGGGTAAAAACAAAATATCGAAATGAAATTTTTTAATATTTATATATTACATTATATATATATGTATCTGATAAGAAACACAGGGTACAACAAAGAGACTTTCTCGGTAAAAACGTGTTAAAGCACTATTCTCAATTTTTCAAAAAAGTTTTACTAATTATTTCGTAAAAAACAAGTGATCAAAAATAGAGACTAAAGTAGGCTAATTGACATAACATTAAGTTAATAGATTCTTGCGGTAACAGATTTAGCGCTATGTAAAAAAAAATTTAAGTGACTAATTTTAAAAACAACCAAGAAAACACTTATTTCTTTTATGTTAAACACAGAAAGATATGTAGGTGGATCCGGATAAAGTTCATGGGACAGTTTCTCCCATGTTTGTGACTATTTACGATTTGTGAAACGAGTATAAAAGTGATACTAGCTATACTTTTTTGGATGGACGCAGAATCACCCCCTTGATTGCTTGGAAAAAGGACTAAATATAAATGGCGACTATTATGCATTGTTATTGCACAGGTTGAGAGAAGAAAATAGAAAAAAGGTTTTCATTTGGAAAAGCAAAAAACAACATTCCATTAAGGTAATGCTAGACTTTTTTAGGCACACATTTGCAGTGATGGCGAGAATCGTGAAATCAAATTACTAGAATATCTACCAGATCACTAGGCTCCCAAGTGAAGGACTTGAACGCCAGGCCACACAGTGCCGTCAATATAATAGTTTTTATTTCAGATTTTTTACTGAACCACCAAAAGATTGTGCCAGTAAAGAGCAACTAGTAGAGAGATAAAATCATGTAAAAAAATTACTTTGATTATTAGCAGAGTTTGTTGACTTAAATCAAATGATTTTTTTTTAAAAAAAATCATTGATTTAAGTCAACTGATTTATATATATATTGATTTAAAAAAAACAGTGTTTCAAATTATTGATACTTTTATTATTTCTTTTCTTAATTTTAAAATTTATTATTGCTGCATTAATTAATTTTAGTTAACAGAATTACTTCCTTTCTTGGTATGTGCTAAATTCCAACACATTTGAAGTTACATTTTTAAAAATCTTTTGATTCTTGAGATTAAAAGTTCAGATTAAAGTAAACATTTAAGTATTTTTCTTTTCATATGTTTACAGTATCTTTGACATTATCAGTTTTTCTATAAAGAAATTTTGTGAAAAAAAAATTTCAATGAGTACATAGATTTTTTAAAAATTTTTTTAAGCTTAACTTAGGTTCTTATTTTGATATAGGATTAAAAATGAATATTTTAATATAAAAACATATAGATTAAATATTTATTTTTTGATGAATGACTACATTTATAAACATAATCCATTTATTTTGTCATTTTAAAAATCAAAAAAGAAGAAATCACAATTTTAAATTAAAATTATGGCTTGGTAATTGAAACTTTGTTTTAAAAGTTTAAGTATTCTTTAAATTCCCTATTTCATCTAGTCTTTAAATTTCAATCATGCATATTTGTTTCAAAATGGTTACTATGCGTTCCAAGCCATGTATTATAATTAAAAATTGCTTTAGGTAGTTAGAGCTTCTAAAATATTCTCAGAAAGTCGCAATAAAATTTATTTGCTAATTTCAAAACATAAAAATTCAGATCTATGCTTTTTCGAGGATGGACAACTGGAGATAAGTAACTAAAAGAATTTTTTACTCTGCATTAATTTGCTGCATGCAAGATGCAATAGTATTTCGTATATAATGATAGAAACATGTGAATAAATCAATTTTGAAGACTCTGTAGTAGCATAAAATTATGTTATTTTCATAACTGCTGTAAGTTTGCAACAGTCATGAACCAATCTTTAGTCAACACCCTCTATTTTTACTTTAAAATGGTAGAAATATCATTAAGGAGAAAAGCCACTGTTTTCAGAAAATGAAAAGCACTCATGGTCAAATTTTTTAATGTTTAAATACTTTCTCCAATGCTGCATTATCTTGGCTCATAGAAATTTGAAAAAAAAAAATAAGAATAAGACATTGATAATTTTCTCCTAGAGGAGAAAATTTCATCAAATTGGCATTTTTTAAAAAAAAAAAAAAAGTTTAATAATATTTAAAATATAGCTTTACTTCAAGTCTAGGGTATTTAAACAATGGCTTCTTTGTTTTCCTTGGTAAAAGAGATTCAAAAAATCATATTAAGTTTTAAGTGTATTTAGAGATAAAAATATATATACTAATAAATAAGTTTTGTTATTTATTTCAAATCATAACTTGGAATAAAAAAAATTGTGGCAGTTCTGCATTTTATGGTAGATGTAAGGTAGAAACACCACGTTTTCAGGAGATTTTTCTAATCAGCACTATTTACCTAACTTCAGCACTGCCATACAATTGAAAAAAACAACACAAATGCTTCATGATAGATTTTGAAAAAAACTTACTCGACAATTATTTTCTTTCAATTGCTAATGCTGTCAATGCTAAAATAAGATTTCAAAAAGCTGGAAAAAATTTATTTTGCATTAAGTAGCTAGGCATACAAAAATGCCATACAAATAAAAATCTCAAATTCGAAATTTTTGTTGCTCACACTGATTTTACTAATTTTGATTTTCTAGATGTAAAATATTTGAAACCAAAGTTAATTCTGAAAAGAATGAGTTAGTTGCAGGTTTACATCTCCACAAATATAATAAATAATCGAGTAAAAAGAAAACAGATATTTAGAAAAGTGCTAGACTTGTCAAAGCTACTTATGTGCACAGTGCGTGGAAAAAACAAACAAAAAACAGAACACCCTGAATAACTTTTGATCTATTGATCGGATTTACACGTACTAGGACTCAAACTTAATGGTTCACGGGAGTTGACCTCAATCTGCTAATTAATATGTGAAGGTAATATTTTAAGTTACAAAATGTAACAGAAAACATGCTTACTTTCTTTGAATAAACAGACATTTTTCTCAACCGATTCAGATTTTTGACCCACAAAATATAGAGGGCAGTATGTCCCAATAGTTTGATGGTCCATGTGGTCCCAATAGTTAGTGGTCAGGAAACTATCTAAATACTTCTTTTTAAGTTTATATTCTTTGTACATCTTTTAGATTAATGAGCATTTTTTCTCTCCCAGAGCTTATTGTTACAAATGGGTCTTGGGTATGCTTGCATTTGATGTTACGCGTAACATGTTTTACTTGAAAGATTAAAATGCGACTACATTTTTAAATGTTGTTAAAGACATCAAAAACCAATCATAAGCAAAATTTAGCAACAACTTCAGAAGAAGTAATTGTGATAAGTCTTTGGGATTAAGTCTTTGACCTATGTAAAAAAGGTTTAGAACAGTTAAAAAAATAGGGTAGTTAATCGGAAATAGGAAATTATAAGAGAAAGAAATGCAACTACGGTTTAGAAGAATAATTTTGAATTCTAGTAAAAAAAATCTTATTTTAACTGACACAATATAAATTTTATAAATAATTTACATTTAAAAATTTATAGTTATTTTAATTCAACTATATTCATTAATACAGCTTCATTTTTAATTATAAATCCAAAATTGAAATAGACTCAAAATATTTCCTATTAACATTACAAAATGTGATAAAAAAAAAAGAAAAGAAAGATAAATCAGAACTCATTCTAGGCAGAAAAAAGGGCAGGGCGCAAAAGTTTAAAAAAAGGGCATCATTATTCTAAAAAGGCAATAATTTCTTTCTATGGGCTTTACACGTTCAAATAAAAAGCATTGTCAATTAGTAAAAAAAATTTTTTTTTTTACTTTACTAAAAGTAGCAAAGCAATCATATTAATTACTAATTTTTATTAATAAATTAACATATATATTGAGTTAATGGGTAGTAATTTATTTAGTAGCTTAGTAATTTATTTAAAATGCATGCATATATAAATAAAATACTAAATGTATGTTTTTAAGTTTCTGTAGTTATGATTTAATAATTATGACTTAATGGTAGTGGAAGTAACTGCAAACTTTCAATGACAAGTGCAACAAGGGGTGTGATGGCTATTTTTCCTTTCCCATATAAATGTATTTCTATGTATTGACAGCAATGACAAACTAAATAAAAAGAGTTGAAAGTAACAAAAGTTTAAAAAATCCATAGTAGAGTTTGGGGGAAAAAACAAAGAAGGGTTGAGGAAAGAAAGGGCAAAAAGGTTATGGAGTCTAATATATCAGGGAACTAATTTACTTCAGGTGGAAGGGGGGCAACAGGGTGGATTCTTTTGACTAAAAGGGTAGTAGGGTGCTGCGCCCTGTTTACCCTGCCTAGAATGAGCTCTAGATAAATGATACCATGCAAAGTAAAATTCCTTGCAAATATATCTAATAAACGAGCTTCATTGTTAAATTACATTATAGATATTATAATTAAAAATTCTGAAGAATATTTTGAAGAAAAATATTGAATGTAAATAAAATCTATCGATTTAGGAGGCATAATTTATGGAACAAAATTTTGTTTTTGATTGATAAGTCAGTTCTAACCCATTGATAACTTATAAAAATGTGCTAACCTTAGTTGCAGTACACCTACTACACATGTACCTGACAAATAAATGTTACATAATTGCAAATAAAAATCAAACGGACTTCTCCAAAGTTATACTGTGATCAGTGGTAAATTTTTAACTAGTCAACATTGTTAAAAAGTTTGATAGTTTAATGTTTTAATTGAAAATAAATAACTTAAATGGATAAAGTTAAAACGAATAACAATATTCATTAAGTAAGGTTAAACATTTATTTACTTATTTTTAAAAAGGAGATTCTCAACATTCTGGAACAAAATATTTTGTTGATTACAGAAGAATTAGTTTAAATAAATACAATCATAGCAAAGGATTGTAAATAATGATACATTTTAACTAAATTATTAACAAGAACATATTAAATCTCTCTTCTTCATATTTCACAATACATTATAGAGAAAACATAAGGTAATTAGAGCTTTGTAGTAGATGGAAAACGATAGCCACGAATAAAATGGCTATTTTGGCATCCTTTAACAGTACATTTCCTCTTGCCATCCACTACGCAGAAATATCGCAGGCCACAGAATTGCAGTTTGTAAATGTTGAAAACATACAGCTACCCATTCCACTGTAGCAAATAAGAAATACTGCAATGAGGAAGACTAAACTGCAAATAGTGCACGGTTTTCGTTCCAGAAAAAACCCAGTCAAATACAAGACCATAAACATCATGTGATTTTGCAATAAAGCTGGATTCACAGGTTTTGGAATTAGAAGAACGGGAATTAACCATTGCAAACAATACATTTTCTTCTTTTTTAAATCACAAAACTCAGGACAAAAAGAAAATCAGAAGAGGTTAAGAGGAAAACGATTTTATATCAAATGACACCAATCATTTCTTCAAAAATTGACTTTAAATAATGTCAGGTGATTTATTTTAATTTATAAGTAGTTCTAGACAGACAAAAGTTCTATAATATTAAATATAAATAGTAAAAACTTTCATTCGCAGTAACAGTGCATATTTATCAAGCACTCCCAATTCCAGAAATCTAAAATAAATAATAATAAAAATAAGATAAATATTTGGAGTAACTCATTTCACTTCAGAAACCGAGGTTCAATTGTGAAACTCGATTACGCTTACTAAAGGCATATTTTTACTGAAACAAGTCTAAATTGTCTGAAAAGAACGGTTGTGCAGAGTAGCAAAGAATTTCAACCACGTGACGTGTGTAATGAAGGGCGGGACTTAATATCTGGGAGGGAAGAGTTCGTGACGTCAATTTAAACATGAATAATAATATTAAGAAGCCTTGATAGAAATTAAAATTCGGCTTTAAAATAATATACTAAGTTTTAACTAAGAGTGTTCATTTTAATTCGCATAAATCTAGATTTAAAACATATTTCATTAAAATACGTATGAAAAATAATAGTTTTCTTTTCTGTGCATTCTTTAAATACTAATCAAATTGCGACTTAATAATTTAAATCAAGTAAATAATACAACGCGTAAATAATACATACAATATAAAAAAGAATCAGTGAAATCGGCCGAATAGTTTCTGAGTCATTAAATTTTATATATCGCATATTCAGGGATAGAACAGCAGCATAATCCATTTGAAACAAAAGAAAAATAATAAATAAAAAATATTTTGGAGTAACTAAAGGCGTTTTTTGGAGCAGATTGGTGTAAATAGTCTTTAAAATTTGAGAAGCATAGTGCGCTTGTAAAATTAGATTTTTGAGCTTATTTCAGAACATAAATTAACATTTTATATCATATTTAACCCAGCTTGGGGGAAAAAAATTATTATTAAATATTAAGAAAGATGTAATAGAAACGCAACTAAGAATCACTTAAATAGACATATAACTGAAAAAATTTGCTTAATGGGTTTCCTGTGAAAATAAAATCTTTTTAGAATTTATTTCAGCATGTTTTATGTCATATTTTTAGCTACATTTGATACACAATGTAATTTAGACTATCAAACTTTGAATCTGAGTAACGACTATTTCTTAACGATTTGTTCGAAAATCACGTTTTGATACGCCTGATTCCATAGTAATTTTACGTTTTATGATTATTTTCTTCGGCTACTTCAACTCGCTTTTTATTTCGATTTATTAATAACGATATTATATTATTACAACAGGTGTATGTTGAAATTTTAGGAATTATTTTTAGACTTGTTCTATTTGCACCGATTCTATAGTAAATCCTTGCCATTTATAGACTTTTTGTCGACCCTTTCAACATGGTGTTACCAATTCCAATACTTTTCATACATATGACAGTATATATATATATATATACAGAATAACAAATCACTTCAGCAGTGCAGTAAGAACGACACTTTAAAACCCTCTTGTTACACTCAATTTACGCTTTTGTTTTCATATTTTGTAATCTGGCAATCTTTTGGCGAAAACATTATTAAATCATTCTTGAAAAATTTCCATCCATGTAAGTTGATCTGATTTCGCTACTCGCTTTATAGTCCAATTTTACTGTTTTTTCTNTTCCAGCTCTTTAGATTATTATGTGACTGTATTCAAGGAATATTTCATTCTAACGTGGTGACTTCTATTATGGTAATTTAAATCCATAAAAAGACACCACTCTTTGCAAATACATTTACATATTTCCATACAGATAAACAAGTATCATTTCATTGAAAAACATATATATATGTTTTATTTTATTAATATATTTTAAAAAATATATTTCACTTGACATCAATCTACAGACTTCTTTTTTTGCTTATATATTCATATATAGAAGTGAAGTGTATATCTGTAATATAGAATGCTTCATACGAGTCTTTCTATATTAAATGATAAGCTTAAAACAGATGTCTCTTATCAATTTTAAAATATAGAAATCGTTCTCTCACAAAGAGCCGTAAAAAGTCAAGAAGCCAGATAAAAGATTATTTCCTGCACTATAATTCGTAGATGAAGTATGCATTTAGATAGTCCCAAAAATTTTCAGAGTGGCACCATCCTTTTAGCAAATCAAAATCTCTAAATTTTATCATTTGAATGACGTTTCATTAAGATAAGAATAGTCTTGCAACCAATTCCCTTTCAGATCCCCCACTTTAAATATCAGGAGCAGTAAAAATTCGTGGCTTTTTCATATTTTCATGGCTAGATAAATCTGTGCCAAATCCCCTGCCATTGAAATCCCACCAATGTAAACCATGCAAAATTCCAACGAACACTGTTTTAAATAACTTAATATCAATTAATAAAATGCCTATTTGTGTGAATCAGCCTAAGTCTCTTCAATTATCTAGCTTTTAAAGGCATATNTATATATATATATATATAAAAAGAGAGAGAGAGAGAGAAGAAAAATTATTAATTAATTAATAAATTATTAATTAATAATTTAGCGCCTTTTAAAAATATGTGAAAAACGGAAATTTTTTTTCAAATAATTGTTAATTTTTTGGAATCATTTAAATTGTATAATTAAATATCAACCTTATTAATTATCCAGTATAATATTATTACCTTGCGCACATCCATTTTCGGGCCAATCCAAGGTCACTCTATTTAAGCTTCTGTTTTCATATTTTGTGATCTGGCAATCCTATTATGAAAATATTTTAAATCATTCTCGAAAGATTCCGGTTCACGTAAGTTCATTTCAATTCGCTCCGCGCCTTATAGAATTCCTTACATGTTTTATTCTGTATTTTCTTTACATTTTATTTTCTGTGTTTTGCTTGACATGTTTTATTTCGTTTTTATTTCTTACCTAATGTGTTCTATTTTCGTTTCAATTTTTTTTGAGTGCTGCTCACACTAATGTATTGATATATTTTGCTTTGGCTATATTGATACAATATTAGAAAGCACTCCTTTTTGCGGATATTATCATGTGAGCTGATGAAGAGGTTACATCGTTTCTTTATTCTGTTTTCCGGATTTTCAACCGTTTTTTTTTTAAGGATACATAAATTTTTTTCTTTTAAATATTTTTAAAAATAGTTTTATTTTAATAATTTTTCTTCTTCTCTTTTCATTAATCTTTATTATTTCCATTTTTTCTCAATATTTAAAGTTATTTTATGAGCTCTATATACTTGCAGCTTATGCGTTGTTAATGAAACAAATTAATTTTCGTCGTTTTTTTCTCCCCCCCCCCTATTTTTTAAATCCGTTTTGTCTTTGTTGTGCTATATGCAATTTTTTCCCCTACAAATGCTTAAATTACAAAAAAATTAATAATTTTTCTTTTTAAAACTACATTTTACTTACCGTACACTATCTCATTAATCAAGTAATGCACAATTTCGGAGGGAGTTTTGTCCCCAAAACTACGTCACTGGACAACAGTGACGTAGTGACAACTCTGTACTTTGGAACTGGCTTTATGTTATAGGATTTCAATATTTCATGGTCCCTTTTTATTAAAAGCAGATCCTTATTTAAATATGAATTTTCTTCCATTTTATCTATCAATCAATATGCACATTCAGGCTGAATATTGCTTACGGTCTTGGAGCAATAAAACTGGTTTTTGCGAACAAATTTGGCGACAAATGGGTCCAAATTTCGCATTTTTTGCTCAATAAATATTATTAGAGTTTTGGAGCAACTTGGAGAAATTTTAGGAAAAACCGGAATTTTGAACCAGATGGGAGCTGAAATTTTGGTTTAAAGCAAATTTGAGTAACCGTTTCAATCCTGTATATTTAAAAAAATTGATTTCCTTTAAATTGAATATTTTTTTTTGCCCCAAAAATATAAAATATTTACGTGCTGGTATGAATTTAAAAAAAACATGCTATACTCTAACCAATTACCAAGTTTTAACTTAATAGGTCAATTAGGAGTCGAGTAATTTTGCACTCCAGGTAAAACAATTTGAATTGAGAAAAACAGACTTAAACACAGAACTTGCAACAAAATATTTAAGTTGCAGATGATTATACTGTGAAAATGATTGCGTTGTTTTATGTTTCAGTGAGTGAGCTTCTGTAATTTTGCGAATTTTGATTGTTATCTTGTACTGTTAAATTTTTCAGAATTAAAAGGTCATAATACAGATTTTTTCATAAAAAAAAAAGAAATAATCGAGGAAATGTTTATAAAAAAATATCGAGATTTCGACTGCTCTTCTACCTAAACTACAAGAAACCAACCACACCGAAAAAATGTATGTTAATTTAGAGAAAGTACATTTTTGTGTCCGATTTCGTAACTTAAAATATCGTTTAAACAAATTTATTTGCATATAATGTCCCGAAAATTGTGGTTTCGACGTTTTAGTAAATAAAAGCATTTCTGAAACGGTTCTGTGAATCGCAAATGTTATGTTTTCATGTTTCTCAAATTATGTGTGTGTGTGTGGAGTTTGTTGGAAGATGAAAGACAGAGAGTTTTTAAAAGTATACGTGTTTTATTACAAGCATTTTTGAAAAAAAAAGAAAGAAAAAAAAAGTTTGTTAGATTGAAATTTTGACATTGCAGTCACATCTAATTTCGCTTCTTTTCTTTTTAAAAGATTACTTGTGCTTGAGAGAGAGATATATAGTTTAAAATGCATAATGAAATGAGATCAATCTTCATCGGACTCTGAACTATAGTAAGTTTCCTGCAAAAGAGGGGAGACAAATAAGATAGTAAATTGTGTGCTTATAAAATTATTTTGAATATTACTATTTCGTTACATAGAAATGACCAATGTCAATTTATGTAGACGTTTAATGTAAGAGATAAAAAAAAAGAAGAGAGAAAGTGTGGGAGGGAGAGAGTCTTTTGAGCGAAAAAATAGGCAAATATTCTGCTTCCACTAAAAAAGAATTTTTTTTTTGGATGATTTTAATTTGGGCGTTTAAAGGTAATACTTATTGAAATTTTTGTAGAAGTAGCTGNTCTCTCTAGTCAAAGGGAGGTTTGTGTTTATCGACAAACTTTGGTTAACTCCATCTTATGGTTTAATTTTTTCTTAGTCATTTATAAGGATTTTTTTTCTCAACTTGTTTTCAACCCGTTGTATGTTATTTAATTTTCTTTTCTTTCAGGATGAATTCGGTAAAACAGGTAAAAATTAAAAGAGAAGATTTGTCTTTAAAAAATTTATTGATTTGAATTTCCATGTAATTTTACATGATAATAATAGATGACGATAATCTTATAACAGCATTGGAAACGCTTTTTATCTCTCCCTAACTTTTTTAATATTTAAAATTTCGATATAAATGCTAAGATTTATATCTGGCAACATATAATCACTCACTCCCTTATTTATTTTATTATATTTATTAATTTCCTGCTACTTTTGATAAACGAACTTAATGAAGATCTTGGAAGAAAAAAATTTTTCTGCAACAATGGATATTCATTATTCGAAATAAAAAAAGAAAAGAAATCCGTGAAAAAAAAGAGCTCAAAATTGCTATAACTTTCGAACAAATTGGAACGTTTGAAAAAACTCACCTTATTTTCAGAAATTTAAACAATTCTTTTTTAGAGCGTCAAATTTCAAGTCTCATCAATCGTCAATTTTCATCAATTTTAATGCTATTTTGATTTTATAATTGCCTTTCTGAGAACTGCAGAGTTACGCGATATTTTACATGGTATCTTTTTTACTTCACGTTCAGTTAATAATTGTAATTATAAAATGTTAATTTTTTTTATTCCTTGCCCATTTTCAATAAATTTTCGTTATTTCCAAGTCTTGTTGTGTTTGTGCAACAAAACAAAATGTAACGTAAAAAAAAAGAAGAGAGAGAGAAAATTTTGCGAAAAAAGCATCTTAAAATGCAGTAAATTACGAACAAATCGGAGTTTTGAAAAAACCTCGATCCTCTCAGCACGTCGAGTTTCAATTCCATAGTTGCATCTTTGCGGCTTGTAGACCTGCATGTAATATTTTATTACAAGTTTAATTAATAATTCTCGAACTCATCTCGTTTCTATCGAATGTTATTTTTTTTAAAATTCCATTATATGTTTTGCTCCACATCTTCACAATTTCAAGTTTCGAAGTCTTTTAGTTTTTGAGCAGCAAAACATGTAAAGTTGAGCCCCCCGAAAAAAGAAAATAAAAAACAGTTTCGACGGCTCTTAAGATCTTTTAATGTAGAGAGATAATTACAGAGATACTTACTTTTTTCCTAGCAATCTAAAATTAATAAAATGAACCGAACATATATACAAACACAAATAGAAGTTTTTGGAAAAGTTATATTGCTGTCGACAATTGAAGTGAATGCCAAAGCTGCTCTTATAAATCAAAGCATTAATTAGATTATTTTTATTTTTGAAAGTAGTAAGCACGTTATGTAATCTTTTAAGAATATTGTAGGAAACAACGAAATGAATGGATGTAATTTACTTTGAGAGGAAGAGGAAATTGAATGACAGTCTTTTCTGCTACCATTCTTTTACAGTAGGCATGCAATATATTAAGGGTAGGCAATTTCAGTTTGCTCAATGGGATATTCATTTTCATTAAGTCTTCTATCATGTTTATGCTTTCTTCATATTTATTCCTATAAACTGAACAAGAAAAATAGATTATAATTGGAATGGCGTGTTTTGTGATATTATGAAGTTAGGAAAAACAAATTTGTATTAAAATATAGATTTATTTAAAAAAAGAAAAGAAAGAAGAACGCTGTATCTATACAGTTATTGGATAAACTGTGCTCAATAATAATTATTCCACGTGTCGCAATAAATCTCTGTAATGCTTCAAAATATTCTTTTTTGCCTTAAAAATAGTTTAAAAATCGTACCCTTATTTCTATTTATTTAGGATATAATAACGTTCACTTTTTTGTAGCGGACCGTCTCCCAATAACGTTTCTTGAACTTTTTTTAAAAGAAATATATTTGAAACATTGCTAAATAATTGCAAAGGCTTTTAAAGGAAAAAATTACATGGCGCCATCTATTCACCGGAGAGTTAATTAATCAATTTGAGCAGAGACGACGCACACAAAGGTAAAGTTATATACGAAAATAACGATTGTATTTTAAATTTTTTTTTTCTCATCGAAGTTCGAATCATATTTAACAAATTGTACCTACTTTTCATCAGACTTTTTTTCTATCAAAAACTTTAGATTTTAATCAATGATGGAACTTTCAACGATGGATGGCAAATGAAGTTGGTATTATTCAATGATGGATAGCATATCGATATATTTTCAATTAATTTTAGACTTATCATACTTTATTATATTATCAGACGTCAGACTTTTTTCTATTAATATTTAAGCATTGGTATACTGAAATTTTCTTATCCTTTTGTCTGACAATTGTCACGTAAATTGAGACTTTTTTCGAGGTAAAGTGTACGCACAGAAAATTTCATAGTAATAAACATATATTTTTGACAGAGTTTAATTTTGAACAGAATTTCATTTTGAACAGAATTTTTATAACGTTTAGGCAAAAATAATGAAGATATATGTCAGTAAAATGCAGCTTCACTTATCATTCACTTTTTGCGTGTTTCGTCATTTCAAAGAAGAAGTATAGTTCAACTTTTATTTTCAAGTACTATTCGACAGATTTCGTTCAAATTTTGTACTTTGTTATTTAAATTTACATAGTTTAAAATGCTGTAAAAATTTGCGTACCTTACATTTTAAATCTTTTTTGACCATTAGTTAAATAAATAAAAAGCAATAAATAACTCTAAAAAGTTACTTTTTCCATCGAACTATCTTAGAATAAACATGTTTTATAATTCTGAGCAAAAAGTTTTTGATTCATTTCATTATTTCCATAGCTATGGACGAAATAAGCAAAAAGTAAAAATTAACATTAAGGGACCAAAACTTTAGATTGATCTCTAGCCTAATCTATTAAAACTTTCCACATAGCAGCTATCTTATATATTTTGATCAGGACTAGGATTCCTGATATCACTATCAGGAATCCAAAGCCACTGATAAAAAAAACGGGAGTTTATTTAGAGAAAGCAAGTTTTTGTGTCTGATTTTGTAACTTAAAATGTGGCATGATTGATTCCTAAACGTAAAATTACGATCATTAAATTAAAAATTATTCAGGGTATTTGCTTTATGCACACACGCACAGACAGCTAAAATAAAAGCCATACCCAGCAAGTCGAAGATTAAGCGATAAGCTTTTATAATTGTTCTACGATCCGAACATTTCTCTTCCAAAATCTGTAAATACTTTTTGCACATTTCAAACTAAAAAATTGAAATAAAAATTAGTATTAATTATTAAAACAGTAATATTAAATTAGAATTAATTATATCAAAGTTGTTTACGTTTTCAGAAGTGCAAATTTTTTCGCATATTATAAAATTCACTTTCTTGAATGAAATAGGTACAGTCTGAAATACAAACATAAAACATTGATTTTATAGAGTTAAAAATATTCAAATACTTTAAAATTTTTAAATGATGACCATATTTACTTTGAAAATTTCATCAGCTTCTGAATAGTTTTCGTTTATAAAATAATAAGCCCATACAACAGACAAAGGAATGACAAAGTTGACTTCTTGATAATATAAATGGGCTAACTCTAAAGCTGGAAGAATGTTATTAGAATGTACTGTGTTAAGCAATGCAGTTTTTAAATAACACTTGTGAATGCTTTTTTTTATACTTTGAATTTTTGTATCTAGTAAATAACAAACTGGCCGAATAAGCATAAAATATGATTATGTCATATTTTTAGTTAGTATTAATGTGATTTATTAGTATTAGTTGACTGCAATTTTTTGGTGCAGCAAGTAGGATCATACATTATTTTGTTTCCTTGATAAGAAAGACATACATTTTATTCCGCACAACTTTAGTTTTCTGTACGTGTTTTGAAAAAATAATTTTAAAGCCGCCTCTTATTTTATTATTTTTTTTTTTAATCAACCGAAGTTCCATACTCTAATGCTTCTTTAGGCAAAGGGTCATTGCTGATGTTTCCTACATTGATATTTTGTTTAAGATAAAGGGCCGATATTTGTTATTCTAGCATTGCCTCCCCCCCTCTATTTATACGAGGACTGAAAAAAAAAGACTTCTGAAGGCAGTCTTCTGACGTCACAAGCCTAAAAAAGTCTTGTCAAATCTACACTATTCCTGATGTTAAGAATCCCACTTCGCAAGAATTTGCGAAAAATATCATACAAATCAAAGAGCCAATGACACTATTCCTAATGTTAAGAATCCCATTTTGCAAGAATTTGCGAAAAATATCATATGATGCAAAGAGCCAATTACAATATTCCCGATGTTAAGAATCCTACTTTGCAAGAATTTGCGAAAAATATAATATGATGCAAAGAGCCAATTACAATATTCCTGATGTTAAGAATCCTACTTTGCAGGAATTTGCGAAAAATATAATATGATGCAAAGAGCCAATTACAATATTCCTGATGTTAAGAATCTTACTTTGCAAGAATTTGCGAAAAATATCATACGATGCAAAGAGCCAACGACACTATTCCTGATGTTAAAAATCCCATTTTGCAAGAATTTGCGAAAAATATCATATGATGCAAAGAGCCAATTATTGCGCGCCTGAATTCAGGTTTGTCTCGAAGTTGTCTTCACTTGGCAATACTTTGCCTGAAAGCACACTAGGAGAATCAGTGATAAAATACAGGTCACGAGCCTGATGTCAGTCCTCATGTAAATGGCTTGTTACATCAAATTTTGTTTTAAGGTAAAAGGACACTGTTTGATATTCCTTACATAGATGTTTGTTAAGGCAAAGAATCATAACCCGGTATTCTCTAATGTGATGAATTCATAAAGGATATAAGTAACTGATAATTCAATATCTGAATGTTATCAGAATTTTATACAGACAGGATTTTTATCCCATTTCAATAATATGCCAAAATCAGTATCGCCGACATGAAATTACAATAAAATTATTACTATGTATTGCAGAGAGCTTAAAGTCTATACTCATAATCTTAACTATCATATGGCTGTAGCTATGGTTATAAGTTAGTGTATAGGTACAATAAAATGGCTATATATTACAAGATTAATATGTTTACAGAATCATCAGGTAGAAAACTGCAGATTCAACTCTTCAATCTCGAAAATATTAAGCGATATAGGAAAAAAAAGGAATTACCAAGTTGAGAAATATCAATTTAGTTTGGATTGACATTAATGCTGAGAAAGGAACGCGTAAGACTCGCAAGTTGTTGGTTTCGTAATTTCCTACGTGTTGAAATGATTTAAGGGAGAAAAGAAATACGATTTAATACAAAAGACAGTTATTCCTGATGTTTAAAATTCATTTTAGCGTCATGCGACGAAAATAAAGGTATTTTATGTGTTTTTTTTTCTTTTTCGATCATGTTGAAATGTGAACAAGTTAATTTTCTTAGCAGCAATGTCCACAAGATGACCAATCCTACTAAATCGTAGACACTCGACAAATTCGTAATTCATTTTCTTTTTTTAACATAGATCATACCTTTTCAAAGATAGAAATGCCAAAACAGAATTTTTTTTTGTTAGGTAGGGCCATAAAGGTCTAATTTTGCAGATAACAGCCTATTTAATATTTTCTTGATACAGCATAGTAACTAAAGCTGCCGACATTTCAAAATTAAAAGGTTGGATGCGGACTTCGAAAGATATTCTATATGATGAATTAGCTTTCTTAATGTTAATTCGAAACAATTAATTCTATTTTTCCCTTTAATTTATTTTTAAAATGTTGCTAGAAGGATAGAAACAAAACAGTTGTTAATTGATATCATTAACTTTTGTTTTACTGAGGAAGAGGTCAATGAAAAAGAACGAAGAAAAAGCAACGTCATACAATTCGGATATATTTAAAAGCTTATGAAAGTGCTATGGTTAACATTAAACTAGAATTTCTTAAGCAATTTTTCCTCAAATAGATTCCATCGAACGCTTTTTCAATAAAAAAGTGTGTAAGAAAAGAATTAAAGTCATAACTGAGTTTTGGATTTCCTTATTAAAGTCCAAACAATAACTATGTTCTTCGTGTTAAAATTATATTTTAATTTTATTAAGATTAAAAGTGATGGGCGAAACATAAAATTTTATAAACAAATACTATTAGTTATTATAAATACTATAAATAAGCCTCTACGAAAAAACATATTTTTCATACCTTCTATAGTTAATTCTGGTTCGTTCAATAATTGTAAGAAACTTTTAACAGAAAATAACGTATTTTTTATAGAAACACGCCTCTGAAGCTCTCGAAGATAGTGTTTTCGACAATTCCTGAATGAAAGAATGAGAAAGATATGATATTATTATTGTCAGTATTGCTCGTGAAAAGCATATACTGTAAGTCTTATTTTTTGTACATTAACAAAAATAAATAAATAAATGTTTGTCTTTAAATTTTTAATTTATTGTTCACAATTGTTCTAGAACGATTTCAAAGCATAATATCGAAAAAAGGTTTAACACCATCTTTAAATTTGATATTGTTGTTGTACTTCATTTACGTCGCACTAGAGCTGCACAATGGGCTATTGGCGACGGTCTGGGAAACATCCCTGAGGATGATCCGAAGACATGCCATCACAAATTTGATCGTTTGCAGAGGGGATGGAGAGCCAGATCACTTGCACTCGAAGTCGAGCACTTTACGGCAGAACAGTTTATCGAGGACCAATACCGCACACCACCGGTCCCTACGCAGACTGATCCAAGTAATCACCCACCCGCACACTGACCGCAGCCATTGATGCTTGACTTCGGTGATCTGCTCGGAACCGTGTCTTAACGATCAGTCCATTGTGGGACCCTTTAAATTTGAACAACGTATCCAAATCAGGTGCTAAAGGTTCATATTATTTAGCAATTAGAAATAAAAAGGCGACCTTATACTAAGATGATAATAAATTTACACAACTATTTTACAGCTGATGAAGCATTGATAGATGAAGGGTTCATAATAATTGTAATGTTCTAATCTTGGCCGGGACAGCCTGGTTGGTAGGGCACTGGGCTCATGTCCAAGAGGACGTGGGTTCGATCCTCGTGGACCGAAGACTCACCGTGTTGTAAACGGTGACTGATGCATGTTAAATCTGTCGAGTCTCCAAGTCCCTCATGTTCCCATAACAAATCATACCTCTGGGAGTACTGATCCAGGAGTTTCCTTGTCTTCTGGACTGGTTCAAAATTACAAGGTTACGGAGTTGAACATTAGTAGTCTTAAATCCAAAATTGGGTCAGCTGTTCAACGACGGTTATAAAATAAAATATAATGCTCTTATCTTAATTTTAAAAAGAGTGTTGAAGAACTTTCCCCAATTCAATAAATGCTTCACTGTAAGTTAATCTATTACATATTTTGCCGGACTTTTTTATTTGGTAATGACATTTCAATTCTTATGGGTTACGGCAATTTTATTTTATTTCTTTTATTTTAATGCTAGAATAAATGTTTTGACTGTAGCAAATTACAGTTTGCAATTTACATTTATTTCTATTTTTGCTAATTTTATTCTAATTTAGGAATTTTCTACTTCATTAACTTTTAAAATTTTTTTTTATATTTTTCTCAAATTTACTTAAAGTTGCGTAATTTACGTTTTAACATATAAAAGTTGATTTATTTTCATAAAATTAGAAAGTTTTGTACAATACTATGCTCTTATGAAAACATTTTAAATTTTATTTCATCACCGTTTTAGTAATAATAAAAATGATTCATAAATGATCTATCTATTCAAATCTAGTAATATCCAGTATACATTATTTATGCCTATTAGTAATTACTCAGCATGTTCAACTAACATTTAGTTCATATGCTTATCATAGTCTGTCTAGGGAAGATTTATTTTGAATTGTAGAAAAAAAAACTTTCCTTAAAGCAAGAAAAAAAGATTGTACTGTCATTATAGTATGTAAGAATAAATATAGAGCTTAATCATTTTTATAAACTAACAAACAAACTTCCCGGAAAACGAATTCAAAATAATTATATTAATATTCAAGAAAAAATTGTTCTTTTTTATCTAAATAAACATTGCGCAAAAATTATTAAATGAACTAATTAATTGATTGATTAATTAAATGATCAGTTGATTGATTGAATCTAAATTGATAATCCTGATTTTTGTTAGTTTGTGACTGAAAATGAAGCATACCTTTGTTGATGATTTTCTACGGCAGCGGCTAATGCTGCCCCCATGTCACAATTTGTACTGTCACAAAAAATAAATTCTACCTGAAATGGAAGATTCGGAATAAAATCCCGTGAAATTTTGAAAAATAACAACCAAAAATAATATGCTTCATTATATAATAATAAAATGATAAATGAATAAACTGTAATACTTCTTTTTCTGGCGAGAGAGTTGCTAGGGATTTTTCTATCTTCTCTCTATATTCCAAACATTCTTTGATGAAAAAACTGTGAATAAGCACAACCACACACTTCTTATTAATTTTTTCCAAAAGGGAGCTCAAAACTGTAACATATAGAATAGAAGAGGATAATTATTAGTTATTAAAATAATAACTCGTAATTGTTTTGAAAGATATAAAAGCGATGTGTATAAACAACTCGCTTTCGATAACTCATTAAGTGATTTTTGAAGAAAAAAATAATAATTTTAAGTTTGTTTTAAAATTCAAAGATAAATTATCTTCAAAAATATTGTATTGAATAATTATTCCAACTAAATGGTTATATATGATAGGCATAATGAAATATAAACATAATATTTATGACAGGCATTTTTAATGATCTCAACACATTGAACATATATTCCATACTTAATTTTCAGATATTTCCTTTATACATATATCGTTACACATACAGAAAACGGATTCGAACATTCATGTGGATTGAGAAGTTGAAAATGTCTTAGATAAAATACTTAAGGAAAACATGCACTTACAAATCGAAGTTAACAATGCTCCACGAGTGAGAATTGTATCAATAACAATAGAGATTGTCAGTGCATCATCATATTTTGGATGACCAGACTCAACAGGTATAGATTCCAGTTTAGTATTTATGTCATTGGAGCTACATTAAACAAAACGGAATTAGAATTAAATATAATAGTATTATAATAGACATGGTGAGTAGCGCTTTTAAAAAGTGCTTAAAGGTACTTATTTTCGATTTTCGTTTTTTAAAAGCCCTTAAAGGTGCTTTTTTCATTGAGTGTTTTTAATAAATGCTTAATTTTCCCTTTTCGAAATAAGAATTTTTTCTTTTTTATGTCGATTTTACTTTTCACGTTGTTTTATACAACGTTTTAACAATTCATTCGACCACAATCCATTTTGACTTACATTCGGTCTGTAGCGTTTAAAAGCGACAATCATTTTACATATTTGATAAAATACTTCGAATACCGCAGGTGCGTCTACTGAGATGGGTTCGATGAGATTCTTGCGCTCTCATGTGCGACTCTGCTGCATTTTGCAGATATTCTCAATTTCAGGCTTCATTTCTCACCCTCTGATATCGAACAGAAAAATCCCTTCATCATTTTATAATGGCTAATATAACCAAGGAAAAAGTTCTCTGTCAGAATCTAGTTATTTTACATCTGAAGTCTTTGAAAATTATTTCGCAGTTTGCTAATGCATATAGTGCTTAAAAATAGTTTTTGAGTGTTTAAAAAGTACTTAAAAGGTGCTTATTTCTTGTTGAAAGATTTGGCTACGCACCCTGATAGAGACCGTAAATTTCAATAGGATGACATCACGAATTGTTACTTGTTTTTTGTCGCTTTGTGTTGTGGAGTGTTGAACGTGTTAATATCAATTCAACATTCATATTTACAAATAAATACGCAATTATTATAAGCAGATAAGCATATTATTACGCAATTTATAATGTATAATTGATTAAAAATGCAATCATTATGATGAATAATGTAATATGATGTAATCTTATGGCAATAGGGACAGTCAACTTCAATATATGACATTGGAGAACGTTAGTGCCCTTTAACGTGATCGAAAGCCAAATCATAAAAGAGCGTAATCCCGTTCAGCGTATATAAAAATAGATTTAATCCATAATTTACGAATATTTAAATATTTTCTTAGGTAACTTTACCGTCCATTATGGTAATGGTTAGTCGAAAATTCCTTTTTTTGAAATTTATAACCTCTATAACGACACATTTAGTAAAAGTACATTTAACGGAGTGTAGTTTTCGTGCTACGTTCTGAAGAATCACGATAAAATAACCAGATTGTCTTCAGAGTTTACTTTTCCTTTTACCGTTAATTTGGAAATTTTAAGAGTTTTTGATGTCTATGCATCTAATCAAATAGAATGGGAATAGAGTTTTCAATCTGTTTACCCTGCTATGGCTTATTTAAAATGGCGATTTATCGAAATGATTGATTGGAGTTAGATAACGGTTAAATGTTTATTTTTCCTAATATATTTTTTAATTTTATGACTGAGAGAAAAGGGTCATAATTGATGCTTTCAAATGTTTAATTACAGAGTTTTATATTGAACTCTGATAGATTATGCCGTGGTGTCTCTTTTTACGTATTTTTTATGGTGAGAGTAATTTATTTATTCGCATACACATGCAGTTTTGTTTGAAAATACAAGGAAATTTGAATTTGAAGAACAGCTAGCACAAGTTTGAGAAATATAGCACGAAAATTCTTGCTTATGGTGGGAGCTGCATGCTTCAGAATGTTTACCAGAATAGCGATACCGCATGGCGAGAAAGACACTTATGGATTTATTGCAAGTTAAAAAACATTAATGGTGCCCCCATGACCGACGGGTATTACCTTACTGTTTAATTAACATTAATTCCCGCAGTAATTTTTTTAACGACTAAATTATATTTTGAATTACTCTTAAATACGAAAGTAATAGCATAATAAGCTGGTTTTTGCGTTGTTTTAAAGTTAGTTAAAATTATAACATCAAATTATAGAGAACTGTAAAATTTATGGTTTTTAAATGATTAAAGAATAATTTACCTAACACCGTCAGTATTGTTTCTTTTTCTCATCATTATTTAAAAACTAAAGAGAAATAAGAAGATTGAGGCAATACTATAATAAGCTATACTTTTCCCAAAGTGACATTTATTTTAAACTGCTTTTTAGTATTGTTTCTAGATAGGTACAAAAGTTAAAAACACGATAAATTAAATCGTGGAATTCATTCCACCAAAACTAGCATTTGAAATGCAACTCATTATAATATTGCTTCATGTTTTTCAAATAAAGAATGTATTGCTACAAGTAATACATTCGTATTTTTAAGAAATCATTAATTAACCATATTTAATGTAACTAATTAATTTTTTTAAGGCTTACATTACCTAAATTATAAACGATTTGGATTTTATGAAATCAATTCAATTTAATAAAACGTTTTGTTTTTACCTCAGAAAACGTTGAATCGTTTCAAAGGGAAGACTCACTTCTTCCGACAAATTCTGCAAGTTACATTGTTTGCACACTAATTTCAGATGATGTAGTTCTAAAATGGTGACTCTTATTTGTTCAAGCAATCCAAAATCACCGATTAAAGTTTCAAAGCTACAAAATAAAAATTTTCTTATCATTTATAAATTCTTGAAATTTAGTTGTATCAGAAGAATATAATTATTTTTCTACCTACAGAGAGCAATTAGACGATGTGGAAACCATCCGATCAAACTCTGTTGCCAACGAATCTAAGTTTTCGTCAAAAGACAAGTCTTGTAAGCCGACATCGATTGCCATCTAAATTATCAAAACATTAAATAAAATTTCTTTTTAGAATGAATTAATTTTTCTTCAGATTTCAATGTTTAAAGCGTAATTACTATTTCATTAATTAAATTAATCTAATTCTTTCCCTTTAATTATATTATTATTAATATGCTATTTATTCATAATAATATATGTTATTATATAACTTCCATCTAATCAAATGCTTCTTACTTCGTGTAGATCTGAGAAAAGTGGTGTCCATTTGGAAATTTTCTCAGTTTCCTCAAAATATACTGCTCCGAAATTACAACCTAAATCCCAAATAGAAGTAAAATTGAGAAATCTAACTTCAATTGAAATAGTTTAATTAATTTCTTAAAATGTGATTTCTGAATCATTAACATAAAACTACATTTTATTCATAATTGTTTGTTTTATATTGTTGTTTATGATAGTTGAAAGTATTAAAGAATGATAACATTAATACCTAAGAGTAATAAATGAATATAAATGCATGAATGAGTAATTGATGCATATTTTTAAAAATGCCTTAGTTTTTGCATACATTACTTCTGTAGCTCCGTTAATATTTAATTTGGAATGATACATAAAAAATATAATATACTAAAAACAATGTAGTAAAAAATGTAATACATATTAAAAATGTTGATATTAATGTATAAAGAGATGAATAATTGGTCAATAGTAGGCAGTCTATTGGGATTGGGATGTGTTCTTTAGTGTTAGAGAATAAGCCCTACGTTTATTAAAGAAGGGGATGTGTTTAGTTAGTTATATTACATTTGTAAAAAAAATAGAGCCAAATAATTACAATATCCAAAAAAATTCAATCGCAATTCCTTAATTCTAGAGCTTATACCATTTTTCAATTGAAGATTTTGGGAATAAAATTTGGAGTATTCAAACAATACCGGGAGTGTTTTTCTCTAGTATAAACTTTTGAACTGCGTTGACATTTCTTAATATTATTAGATAATAGCGTAATAGTATAACGGAAATAATATCATGATGATATGTCATTTAAAATATCAAGCAATGTTACCATGACATGAACAATAATGATCTAATACATCATTTAAGAAAAACTATTTAGTTCATTTTTGTCGAATAAAAAATTTTGCTCATTCTCTAGGCAACATATCAATGTATATGTATTTTTTATTAATGAGGTTACACATGAATATTTAATGAGTTATGGAGCATATATAAAATAACTTAAATAGAGTATAATTTGAGCAAATACAAAGTAACTTTTTATTATTGACTATTCAATTTTATTAATTTACCTAAATTGAAAGCAATATCACAGTTGGAGTTTAGATATGATCCTAACATAAGTAAGCTGGTATTACTCTGTAATACAGCAGAAATATCAAATGCTATTTCCTGCAAGAAATTCAAATAAAACAGAACAATAGAAAATAGTTAGAAATATATGCATTCTGTTTCAAAACAAACAAAAAAAATTTTTAAAGAATAAAGACAAAGAGCAAAAGCCTACCTTTTTGTCTTTCGAAGTTTGGAATTCGTTATTGAATGTTAAAGAAAATCCGTATTCAGCAGCAGCATTGAACTCTTTTTCGATATAACCAAAAACCTAAAAACGAACTATGATATTAGATTGATTCAGTGGCGTACGCAAGGGAGGGGTTTAAACACCCCCCTTGAGCTCAAACAAAATGGCAAAAATAAAAATTTTAGTAGAAATTATGCGAGCTATTATTTTTTAAGACTATATATTTTTTTTAGCCTTATGCCTGCTTTTTTTTCCTCACGGTATTTCTCAGAATACTGAAAAAGCATTTACTATAAGGGTTGTACTTTTGAAACCAAATTCACGTGATACTGTTATGGACTGGTTCCTTTCTGTCCTGCCAGTATAGTTTTCGAGACTGGCTGTCATTCGCGAGGTCTTTAAGCGATGATTCTGGAATCCTAGACGTTCTGTCGTCTTTGAGACAATTCGAGAATTTTGGAGACGCGGTGAAAAATTATATAAAAGGGGGAACGGAGTACAGTGGAATTAGTTAGTCAGACTAAGAGTTATCTCTGCCGCTTGTCTTTCGGAGCTTGTCGCTAAATCTGTTTTGTTTTGTCTTAACAAAAAGTTCATTCAATCGCCGAACCCGTCGTCGCCAGTATTTCGACTAGTGAAGAAATCAGTAACAATACCATAGATACTGTGCTCGTTGAAGTTATTCATTCCAGCTCGAAACTTTGAGATCGTAGCATAGCGGATATTTCTGTGCCAATATATACATATATTTGCTGTTCTTGGATCTTTAGGATTTAACAATTTTTAACGCAAGAATTTAGCAATTTTTAATTATTTTGAGAAAAAATCACGATCTGAAATTAGTGAGGTGACAGCATCTAGTACCAATGTAAGTTTTTCTGTTGTACAGAAATGTGATACTTCCGTTGAAGAAAACGTTTCTAGCATAACAAAATCTGATGAATGTGAAAGTGGCCCTCAAAGTGTTACTTTCCACCCATATGACATTAAACTTTTTTCAGAAAATATTACATTATGTTCTTAAACTTAAAAAATCAAATCAAAATTTAACTAAACAATGTTGTCTAAATGAAAAGTCAAAATTGTCTAGCTGTCTAAATTAGGGAAATAATAGTGATTTTTAACAGATTCGAATTTCTTTTAGTAGTTTCAGAAAATTATGAACACCCCCCTTGAAAAAATTCTGCGTACGCCACTGGATTGATTCATGAAACTTAAATTATATATGTATAGAAACATTCAGAACAGACGTAAACATTAAAAATAATAAAAAAATATTAAAAAAAAAGTTAAAGATTTTAAAAAACACAAAAAGAAAAGTTATATCGTTATACCTTTGTTAGTGTCTGAATTTCTCCTTCGTATAATTTTAGAAGATGACCAACAACTCCTTGCAAAGCAAATGACTGTGGCACAGCTAGAGGAATGTGACCTTCTAACTTTTCCATCATTGTTCCAGTCAAATACGTTAAATTCTAAGTTAATGAAAATGTACATATCAGTTTTACAGCAGGTACAGATAATAACAATTAATCATGTTAGAGTTGATATATATTTTCGTATATTATTTTTTTCATTGTTGATTAGGCGCAGTCCTATAAACGTTACTGAGAAAGTATAAAGTGTAGACATTCTGTAGAATACTCGGGCAAAGTATAAAATGCCTGGCCTTTTTAGTCCAAGAAAGAAATATTTAATCTGTTAAACATTTCATTTTTTCTCTTTAGTTGGCTTTACATATCCGTTCAAAACATTTTATATAATGCCAAATTTGTAGTTACCAGTAATGCACAAAGTCAGAAAAAAAAATTTTGTTAAAAAATGCTCATTCTCGGGAATAAGGCGTTCTTGTTAGAGATCTAACAAAAACAGAGCTTGAAAAATTATTCCATCTTTATAATTTAATAAATGCCTGGTGACTGACAGTCCGATTTTATGCTTGGTCAGTTTATCTCTTAACGTTGCGTAGAATGCCTTATCGGCATTTGAAATATTAACGATTTCATACTTAGACGTGCAATTTAAGGTATATGTATGTATAAATTGCATGCGTATTCTATAAAATGTCTGAATTCTATGCCGGCAATATAAACACATAATGGAAAATAATAAATATTTAATTATATTTGTTCTGGCTATAGTCTTTTTGATGAGTTAAATGTTACTTGAAAATTAATTACAATTTTTTTTCTTCAGTTTTCGGGCAGAAAAAAATAACACATGAATATTAATGGCAAAGTAATGTCATTATTTATTTTTTTGAGTTTCTTAAAAGCTGATTAAATGTAAAGAATTACGGATCAAATTACGGTATGAAGTACCAGCATTTAGGGTTCATCATCCGCAAAATCTATTCTACCATAAAATCTATTTTACCATAATATATTAAACCGTAAATTTTACAATAATATTTATTTAACTAGTGTGATTCTGTGATTTTGCAGTAATTATTATTGTAAAAATTACAGTATATTAGGTTCTTTTTTTCCGTGAAGGTTCCGGTAACAATGGATTTTTAAGGGAAAAAAATTACGGGCACCCTACGAACCGGTATTTATTATCGTAATTTGATTCAATAACTCGCAAAGTTATTGAATTACAAATGTTCTTTACAGATAACTTTATTTTAATATTCTTTTTAAAATTAAACAGGCAACAAAATGCGGAAATTTTGTATTCATAGTATAAAATTGAAGCATCATTAAATTACAATTAAACACAGTTTCAAAAATTAATAACTTTCAATGATTTTTTTAACTGGGAGCTACGGCACCCGGAGATACGGTACATATTCGTTCGCATGATTTTAAATATAATAAATCCTTCTTTCAATGATTTTTCGCAAAGAAAATTGCACATAGAGAACTTTGAGCAAGTATCGTTAGCAAGTATCTTTGAGCAAGTATCAGAAAAGGTATCGTTATTCAAAACAAATTACATTTGGAAACAAATAAATTAGAATAGTAACATTACCGACAAAATTGTTAATTATGTTAAGTTAAACTTACTTCACTCAAAAAGGTGGTTTGCTTTGTCTTAACTATGAACGGAAGTGCAAATGTATTCAAGAAGTCTGTAAATAGTTTAACGTCAGGAAATATCTCTTCATAAGGTATGTTATACTCCTAGAAAATACGTTTACAAGTCTAGTGTACTTTAAAAAATTAATGAAATAAATTTTATTGGATTATAAACTATTAATAATGCCAGAAAAATTGCGAATTCAAATTATTAAACTTAAACATAGTTTTAATCATTACGATGAAGTTTGGATTTAAAATATCCTTCTAGTGATTGAAATTAATTTGCGTTCATTCAATTTGCAAGCATTCGAATAGCTCGCAGCTGAAATCTTTCAGGTGAGATATTTTTTCACCTTACTTTGAATTTTTTTTTTTACCTGTTTCTTTTTTTTTCCTTTTAAAGTTATAGATGATATTGAAGTACCCATAGAGTCAATGTGTCAATGTGTGGGAAACAACACTGATCATTTCTTGGTGTTAGTTGAAGTGATGTAAGACCAGAGAAGTTTCCTTTCATTATTTTCGGTGTAAAGTAGTTGCCTCTATTTGTGTTCGGTAACACTAAAATTTATATGATACTGAGTTAGTAAAGTTATTTTCACGATAGAATTTTAAAAGTAACAACTAATTCTTAAAATAAAAGTAGTCTGTAATTCAAAAATTCGTATACTACTGAGAGAATATTAAGATAAATTCCAATCAGGCTTAACAGAACAGAAACGAATAACATTGTTATAAATGCTTAAAAGACATTTTGTCTAACTATGCGTGGGCATGTTCAGCCTCTCTATTGCAGCGAGACTTGTAATGTGTTGAAATTTGTTATGATTATAATTTGTCAATGTATTTTTTTTAAAAATTTTTTTAGCGAAATAATACAATGAATAAAATGTATTTTAAATACTTAAGGTGAATTGCTTAATGAATCAAAATCTATACTAGCTGTAGACAAACCTCATTGTGTTGTCGTGTGACGATACATAATGGTAAAATAATTAATAAATTAAAGCAGTTACGTAAAAATAAGTATTCAAAATGCATCATACCTTTAAAGTAACTTGCGTTGCAGAGGACTTTTTCAAACTGGCGTATTCCATAGCACGGATTGTCTGTAAGGAGAGCTTTTTTGCACATCGAATATAAAACTACACTTTAAGTTTAGATGACATGAAATGAACGTATTTAATAGAAATCAATGATTAAAAAATTAGTTCGGATCAATGTAATTATAACGAACAAAAATGAAATTTCTATAAACACTAAAATGATTTTCTTAATGAAATATTTAATTACAGTCCCAGATATGTAGGTAGGTAATTTATTTACGTTGCACTAGAGCTGCACAATAGCAACGGCCTAGGAAACATCCCTGAGGATGATCCGAAGACATGCCATCACAATTTTTAACTTCTGCTGAGAGGATGGCTCAACCACTTTGGCGAAGTAGAGACATTTACAATGGAACAGTTTAGCGAGGACAAATATCGCGCACACTCGGTCTTAACGCATGCCGACAGCCAGTGATGCTTCTATTGACAACTAAGTCTTTACAATCAATCCACTGTGAGACCTACAGTTGTAAGATAGCCCGGGATAGCCTGGTCGGTAGGGCGCTACGCCCGTGGGTTCGAACCCCGCCAGCCGAAGACTCCCCGTGTAAGTAGTGACTGATGCACGTTAAAATTCTGTCGAGTTGCAAAGTCCTCCATGTTCCCATAACAAATCAATACCTCTGGGGGTACTGGATTGGAGATCGATCGTTCTCTGATTCAGGTCAAAATTACGATCTGTGGATGAATGAATGCATGTGTGAATGGGTCCGCCTTATAAACAGATGTGACGCATGATGTGGCAGAAGTCGAATTCTTGGTCATAGATGACGCCACTGAAAAACAAGAATAGTACAATCTGCCTTAAATTTGCTCGATTTCACCAAGCAGTCTTGCCAGTGTGGCAAATGGCATTAGAACCAACCACCAACCAGAAAACCGTTTTGATGATAGACCATATTATCAGTATATTGGACAATGAAATTTCACAATTTTTTTTCATGACCTCAATAAATTGATCCACATTTCCCTCGAAGTAGAATCATAGTATTGCATCATCAAATTTACGATGTATGATAATATGATTCAACTCAGTGACACATTATAAAACAGAGCATTTTATACATCAAATATATATAAAAGTGAAGCGTTAACAAGTTTGTCGTGCATTTTTTGTTTGATATAAAACTAAAGTTTATGATTCAGTTTAAAAATGTATTTCCAGGAAATCAGGAAAAATTTATTTTAAATAATTTAGAAATTTAACTAGTTCATAATATAACTAGATTTATAGTAAAAAGAGCACTTATATATATTTTATTTGAGTTTAAAATAAGGATTGTTTAAGAAAGTTAATATAATTTTTTGCGAATTGTTTTCATAATAGTATAATAGTACAAGATATGTTTCTGCCAATATAGTTCCCTATAAAATCTTAAACTATCTTAACATATGAAAGGCATTACGTNAATCACTACTATATAAGGCATGTTAACTTGCATCCATCTTAAAGTACCTTTAGATAGTTGAAGGTTAACACAGTCGATAGTTATATCTCCACACATGCACATTTCAAACAATATTGGAAATTCTAATAGCTAACTTTGGTAATTCCTTTTTTTAGCTAAGATTCTATTGTTTTTTGTACATTTAAAAAGGGGTGCGCAGTAAATCTACCTCCTCCTGGTGCACCTTGGTAACACTTTGCGGCTAAAAGATCTGCAACTTAGCATTCTGTCCTGCTTTGCGCAAGTCTTCTCTAGCCGAGCGATATTGGGAAGCCCGAGACCTTTTGAATTAATGGACTCGACTTACTGCATTATGTTTACCATCTTGTATTTCACTTTTTTTATTGTGCTGTAACTACTGTCCAATAAATTTGCCATTGGAAATTAAAAAAAGTTTTTTTTAAACTTTTTTTGGCGAAATAATACAATGAATAAAATATTTTTAAATGCTTAAGGGGAATTGCTTAATGAATCAAAATCTATACTAGCTGTAAAGAAACCTCATTGTGTATTACGATACATAATGGTAATATAATTAATAAATTAAAGCAGTTACGTAAAAATAAGTATTCAAAATGCATCATACCTTTAAAGTAACTTGCGTTGCAGAAGACTTTTTCAAACTGGCATATTCCATAGCACGGATTGTCTGTAAGGAGTGGTTTTGCACATCGAATAAAAAACTACACTTCATGTTTAGATGATATGAAATTAACGTATTTAATAGAAATCAATGATTAAAAAATTAGTACGGATCAAAGTATTTATAGCAAACAAAAATGAAACTTCTATAAACACTAAAATGATTTTCTTAATGTAGTATTTAATTACAGTCCCAGATATGTAGGTAATTTATTTTCGTCGCACTAGAGCTGCACAATAGGCTACTAGCAACGGCCTAGGAAACGTCCCTGAGGATGATCCGAAGACAGGCCATCGCAATTTTGATCTTCTGCTGAGAGGATGGCTCACCCACTTTGGCGAAGTAGAGACCTTTAGAATAGAACAGTTTAGCGAGGACAAATATCGTGCACACTCGGTTTTAACGCATGCTGATCAAAGTGGTCACCCACCCGTACACTGAAGACAGTCAGTGATGCTTCTACTGAGAACTAAGTCTTTGCAATCAATCCACTGTGAGACCTACACTCCTAAGAAAACCGTGGCCGGTATAGCCTGGTCGGTAGGGTGCTGGGCCACTGTCCGAGAGTTCGTGGATTCGAACCCCGCCGGTCGAAGACTCCCCGTGTAGTTGGTAACTTAAAATTCTGTCGAGTCGCAAAGTCCTCCATGTTCCCATAACAAATCAATACCTCTGGGGGTACTAGATTGGAGATCGATCGTTCTCTGATTCAGGTCAAAATTACCATCTGTGGATGAATGAATGGATGTATGAGTGGGTCCGCCTTATAAACAGATGTGACGTATGATGTGGCAGAAGTCGAATTCTTGGTAATAGATGATTCCTCCGAAAAACAAGAAACGCACAGTCTGCCTTAAATTTGCTCGGTTTCACAAAGTAGACTTACCAGTGTGGCAAGTGGCATTAGAACCAACCACAAACCAGAAAACCGTTTTGATGATAGACCATAATACCAGTTTATTGAACCATAAAATTTCACAAATTTTTTTACGTGACCTCAATAAATTGATCCACATTTCCCTTGGAGTAGAATCATAGTACTGCATCATCAAATTTAAGATGCATGATAGTATGATTCAACTTAGTTACATATTTTAAAACAGAGCTTTTTGTACATCATACATAAAAGTGAAGCGTTAACAAGTTTGTCATGCATTTTTTGTTTGATATAATACTAAAGTTTATGATTCAATTTAAAAATGTATTACCAGGAAATCAGGAAAAATTTATTTTAAATAATTTAGAAATTTAACTAGTTCATAATGTAACTAGATTTATAGTAAAAAGAGCACTTATATATATTTTATTTGAGTTTAAAATAAGGATTGTTTAAGAAAGTTAATATAATTTTTTGCGAATTGTTTTCATAATAGTATAATAGTACAAGATATGTTTCTGCCAATATAGTTCCCTATAAAATCTTAAACTATCTTAACATATGAAAGGCATTACGTAATAAAAATTTTTTAATGTAATGAGCTCATTATGTAAAAACATGCGCAACATACTTCTTGTTTCCTATAAATTTGAAGCTCCTTCTCGAGCCTTTTCTTTGAATCTAGGATCACTTTTTCAATTTTCTTCTTCATTAAAGACACATTCTTTTCCATTTGTTTCAACTTCGCCCATTGTAGTATTTCTATTTCTTCTTCTTTCAGGCTGATGGCAACATCAAAGAGATTTTCCAGCTTTACAGTAATTTTTGCTTTCTGTATTATAAAAATTGCAATAGGGTAAACTAACCAGTGAAGGAACACTTAAGCTTCGCTCGCTTGCCTTTTAAAAAATCATATTAATTTCAAAATTCGTAATTTCAGTTAAATGACAGTGTCAATATATTTGTTACTAATTGCAAACTATGCAAAAAAATTGTAGAGAACTTACATAATATTGTTTTANATAATTTTGCAACACAATAATAATTTCTCAAATACTATCATAGTGTTAAATTTATTTTCAGTACTGTTAAGTTAAAATAATAGCTATAAATAGAGAAAATACTATTACTAAATATTGAAATTTATGAGCTTCGTTATGAAAACTTCCTCCTTTTTAAGGAATTCATAATATGTACGATAAAAGAAATTCTGTTAAGTGAAATGACTCTTAAGCGATATAAATTGATGTCAATTGAAAAAAATCGCCTTACTCTGTAAGACATTTCTCGGAAAAATAGTTAAATAACAATTTTTTTAATTGTTATTTCACCATATTCAAATAAAACAGTCAAGTAACCATAAATAAGGTGATATTTAAACAGTTAACTGTGAGAAATCGCTTATTAACTACTTTCACCTAATGTGATTAAACAACTAGAATTTTTTTGCACCAACTAAGTCCACATAATGAAGCCATGTACTTAGTTCCTTGAAACTGAGCACTCATAGCCGGGAGGGCTAATCAGTCTCATGACCAATAAAATTGGGGGGGGGGGTCAAGTATTTAATGGACATTATATTTTATTTTTAACTTATATTTCTACATTTTGTATAATGAATAATGATTAATTTTTATGATAACTTATGCCTCTCTTTTAATCTCTAGTTCAACGCAGAATGTAGACACCAAGCTAAATGAAAATATGCCACCCTTTGATTAAGGAAATTACCAATTTTTTTTATTAACAAATGTCTTTGTTTCAATTTAGTTCAAAAATTTAAGTTTGATTTTAATTAAAAAAATTTAAGAAAAACCAAAATGTTTAATACATTAGTTGTTAAATTTTAAAACAATTATTTTTCGTTATTAAGCTTCAATATTTCATTTTTAGTGTGGACAAGATGCAGAAGATAATAGAAATAATGCATTAAAATAATTTTTAGCTAATTTAATTTTTTTTAGGAAAAAAAAACATTACATGAAATATAATTTAGATTCATACTTAAGATAATTATATTTTTTAAAATAATGAAAAAAATTTCAAATTTTACTTGGACAGATGCTAGTCAATTTTTTTCAAAAGCTTAAGATTAGAATTAAACCACACAACTTCATAAATAGAAGAACCCTTTAATTTAATAAAAATGACTAGTAACCTTAAGTTAATTAGAACCAGAATTTCCTACCAGAAATTCCTTTGCCAGATAATTTTCAACATCTTTAGGGCTGACAGAAACTTCTTCTTTCCCTTTTTTCAGCTCAATGATATCATGATATAAATTTTTTAATGAACAAAATATCTGAGATTCCTAGAACATAATAGATAAGTAAAAGCAAGCATTAAAAAAAAGGTCAATTTTTAATCTGATGTTAATCTTTTGAATCGTTTAGTTTATTGCTCTAATCTATACACACTTAATGCATATGTTTTTGTGAAGTTAATCTGATTGATTTCTGGTTTACCAACTACTTCAAGTATATGGAGAACTATAACTAATCACGAGTAAAATGTATAACTTAACTTAAACTTAACTTAAACTTAACTTAAACTTAACTGAAACTTAACTTAAACTTAACTTAAACTTAACTTTTTTTAAAAATGGATAATATAAAAAGAATAGCTGCACACTTAACATGAAATTAAAAATAAAAAATAAATTACGTGCAAAAAAAGATTTTCAACCACTCTTAATAATTTTTAAAAAAAGTAAGAGTTTCAAATTATTTCTTCTTAATTTTTTTAACAAATTATTTACATATTTTTGTACTGAAAATAAACTATTGCTATCAATTTTTTACTCTAGTTATTTTCCTTATAATTAAGCTTTAATGAATATTAAGAAAATATATATTTTTTTCTGAATTTGCTTTTGCTTGAAATGATCATTTAACGTAAAATGACAAAAGATATTTTTTATGTAATTTAAAAATATTTTCTGAAAAATATTTAAAAATAAATTTTGCCAAGAGAGAAGAAAAATGAGATGCAATTTTACCTTGTCTTTGAACACAGTCAGTGAATATCGCATTTCTTCCCCTTTAAGATTAACATTTGCTTCTATTTCCTTCTTCTTGGATTTTACAAGATCTTCCATGATCATTTTTCGTTTATTAATAACGTCAAGAATTTTATTTCGTTTTGATATAATTTCCTCTTCGACTTGTTGAATTCTTATCTCATACACTCTATTCATAAATACCTGCAAAAAACAGACATGAGATTAAAATGCATTTAAATATTTATGTTAGTTTCATTTTTTAATAAAATTAAAAAATATAAATAGTTCTTAAGCTAAATATTTTACCCAGAGATTTACTTGGTGCAAGTTAAACCAAATATCTATTGAGCGAAGTAAATGAAACGTAAAATAAATAATAAAAAAAATAGTCACTCAATTAAATTAAATAATAAAATAAAAATGTATTCATTTAATTTTTCAAGTGGACTAAAAAGGAAAAAAATAATTCTATTTTTGTCACACCAAAAATATAAAACGGAGGGCGCATCACTTTTGAAATACGTGGTGTGAATGTTTGGTTATGATAGAAGTTTATTTAGAAAGTGATGCATTCTAGGTTTCTTGCCTCAGGTGTAACAATAATTCACTTCAAACATGGTATTTACATATTTTTTTTAATATTAATGTTTCCTCATTTTAACTTTGGGTCTGTTAAATTGTTTATGCCAAAAAAATGGTCGATGGGGCGATGGAATGGTAATAAATTTTGTTTACAACATTTAGGAAACAAGTATAGCTTATGTTTTACAGAGTTTTAGTTAAAAACTCTAGCTCATCAGATAGTGATTGGAGTTTTAATTCACAATAAATTTTATTTGGAGAGAAGTTCTGCTTGTAGTGGTTGAAAAAAAAACAATTGAAGTTTGTCTAGGCAGAAGCCCAGAGCTTCAGCTAAAATGTGAGTTTTTTTTATCTCTAGTTGGAATATTGTCAAAATCTTAATTGATGATTAATTCACTAAAGGGGTAATATCACTAAGGATTCTGCTTATAACGATTAAGAAACGTTTGAAAGTAGCATTGTCCTACAGCACAAAGCTCTTGTTGAGATTTGATCGTTCTAGTTAGTCGAAAAATCTTCAGATAATAAAGTAATTTTGATGATAAACCAGTGATTAAGAAACGACATAGACTTCAAATGTCAATCCGGTACAGAGGTACTAGCTAGGCGAGATGTCGACCAGTGTTCTGACTGATGATAATATTGCGATAAATTCTACCTGTAGCTATGCACACGATTAAAACTTGCATTGTCATTAGACCTAGAGCTTCATTAGCGATGTGAGTAAAGCAAGGTTATAAAAGCGTAAATAAGAACGAAACTTTAAATTGTGTTTTTTGTGAATAATAATTTTTTTCATAACGCTGATGTGGCACAATATTTTAATAACGATTACGTGTAATTATGTAGGGATTTATCTTGAACGTGATCCCCTTAAAATATTTAAGAGAAGAAAAAAATAATTTTCAAATCACTCGTCAGTTTTGCATTACCTCAGTTTTAGAACTTGATTTTACTGTGTCTTCTTCAGTCTCAGCTTCAGAAGATACTTTCTACAATATTAAAAAGTATGTATGAATTAAATCTTATTTCTTAATGTAACTTTTGTCAAAGCACAGTGTTATAATATTTGTTTTAATAGTTCGGTATACAGTTTTTCAACTTGCTATAAGCAGTTCAACCATAAATAAATGATGTTTAAAAAATAAAAAATATTTTATTCTTCTAAATATTTACCAATTACTAAGATCTGTACACAAAGTGTCACTTTTTAATCATTGTGAAGCTTTATTCTAATAACGCCTTATGTTTTATTCTAACGTCGCCTGATACTTAACTTCTAATGCGAAACACGTAGGTTTTAAAATATTTGTCGTAAAATAAAACAAAAAATATTATTCATACTATTTTCAGATAACTGATGTCTCTCTCTCTAAATTAGAGATGGTATTTCGTTGTGCTCTAACATTAAGTGCAATTTTATGATGATGGATGCCCAATGGGTCGAGAGTTCCTGTAACTAACATAGTTAGAAAGTCACGGTACATGCACGAAGAAAGAAATTCTGATAAAGTTACTGTAATTGTATGGTAATGACATTTTTAGTTAAAAAAACATAATTATGATAAGAAAACCAAAAAATACGGTATTTAAATTATTTTTTTGGTAATTTTTCCGTTCATATGGTAATGTCTGACCAGAAATTCTGGTTTTCAAAATTATAGTCCTTATTATCACACGTTTAGTAAAAATACATAACTGAAAAGTAAAATTAATGAAATAGGTGGTTTCATGTCATTTTCTAAGGTTTCATAAAATTACGAAATTTTACTACATTTCCTATTAAACAGCATGTTAATAAAACCACATTTTACTGTTAATTTTACCAAAAGTAATTAGTAAAATACCTTAATAAAAATTACCATACTTTTTGGTGTTCACCAGAAACCCATTAAATTTAACTATATTCTACTAATTTTGACCATACTTTTTTTCAGTGAGGGTAACAATCTGTAATTTGCCGATATTTAAACATTTCCCCGTTGAGTTAGCATAGAGTGATAAACAACTGTATCTTAATTCAGTGGAATCTCAAAATTATAGGTATGTGTTTTTATTTTAAGCTGTTAATATTAATTTCAACAATTCAAAAAATCTATAATATGAAAAAACTGTGTTAAAAGTGTTAAATAGCCAAATGTTTTATGAAATAAGTAAAATTTCAAAAAAATATGATAGTTATACTAGACGCTTCGCTTTTATCAAGTTATTTATGCAATTATAAGCTAAATAAAGAGTTAATATTTTGATAAAATAATTATCGTCATTCTAAGAAGTTACTTATAGAAAAGTTTGCAAACTAATAAATTTATTAAGTGACAAATTGAGATTTTTTTTAAATTTTTAATTAAATTTTTTGGTAAAAAAAAAGATAAGAATGAAATGAAAGAAAGAAAGAAATGAAATTTTAACTTGCTAAATGAGATTGCGACATTAAAAAAATTATTTATAATTATGTTATCTTCCTACAAGGAAGATAAAAAAACAATTAAGTGATATAAATTTTCAGTTTACTAAATTATTAATTTCACCCCCTTTTTCAAATAGTTTTTTTCAGCAAAATTAAAAAAAAAAGTTTATTTATTCAAGTAAAGTAAAAACAGAATGGTAACAAATAGTGCATTTTATTATTTTAAGAGAACTGTTCTTAAAACGATATTCAGTAACAAAAAATTTTCATCTATTGAGTCATGCTGTTTTATTTTATAAGAATAATTTGTAAGAACAATAGAATATTTATTTTATAAGAATAATAGAAAAAAGGTATAATAAAATGAAATGCATTCGTGATGATGTCCTACCTCAGCTCTTTCAATCTCTAAATCAACAGTGAGTTCCCGCTCAATATTTTCAAAATCCTGCAGTATTTGCTTTTCAGTTAACATTTCTCTTTCTTTTCTTTTTATTTCATAGTAACTAATATATTCTTTAAAAGAATAATTGTAGTCCTATAAGCAGAATAAACCTTGAATTTACAAGATCACAAAAACAATTCACGAAAAAAAGGACGAACGATAGATATTTTATGCAAATGAAGTCTTTTAAAATTAAATAAAAATGTATCAATTTTGATTACTTTAGGCTTTGTAAGTATATCTTAAAAAAAGATGACTGATTCATTGTACTTTTGTTTTAATGAATAAATTAATTTATATGTCATAATTATAAAAATTTTAAAATTAAAAATTATATTAGCTTATATTGCCAGGCTAGCATAAATGGTTTATTTTTATTACAACACATAGAGACAATTTATTGAATAGATTTTAATTCTGATGATAAAGGAATGGGAGATGATGAGACTTGTATATTTACATGAAAACGTACGGTGTGCAAATAAACAAATAAAAAATAAATAAATATAAAAGTCACCCTGATTAAATTTTGATCTGATTTGCACTTAATTAGAATTCAATCTTAATGGTTCAAGTGTGTGACTTCAAATATGCTAATTAGTAAGCGCATGCGATATTTTAAGTTTTGAAATCAGACACAAAAATGTAATTTCTCTGAATAAACATTCCTTTTTTTTTCGCTTTCTGCAATTTAGCCGCTACCTGAAAAATAGGGTGAGGAAAGTGGTCAAAAGTTTGGACTACTTCATGTAAATTTTAGTTTTTATCACTACATATCTAGAACTTTTTAAGTCATTTGAAAAAATTTTGCACTCAAAAAAGAAAAACTTTTGCACTGAAAAATTTTATGCAAAAAATTAATAATTTCTTTTTATCATTATAACTTTATTTAATAAATTTCATTTAATAGAAATATTTAATTGTAAGGTATACAAATTTTACCTTATTTTAAGGAATGTAATTTAATATGGCAAAATACAAAATTTGAACAAAATCGTTCAAATAATTCCTGGAAATCAAATTTTAAAGTTCTAACTTTTTTAAAGTTCAATTTCTCAGGAAATACTAGACCGATTTCGTTCAAATTCTATATTTTGTCTTATAAAATTACTTCCTTTAGAGTGATGCAAATATTTGCAAACCTTGCAATTTAAAACATTTTCTACTATTATTAAATAAAATGATAAAAAACAATAAGTAGTAATTACTTTTTTTTTTTTTGCATGAAATTATCTTTGGATAAATGAATTTCATAATAGCCTGCTACAGTTTTTCTATTTACTTAAAAAATTTTCGTTATAAGGAGAAATACGCAAAAAATAAAATTAACATTAAGGTGTCCCAAAATTTTGACCGCTCTCCTATGAAAACTATGGGGGCCATATTTACCAGATAGCGACTACCGCCTGTATTTCGAGGGTCAGAAATGCAAATCTGCTAAAGGAAATTCGTGTTTATTCAGAGGCAGTATGTTTTTATGCTTGATTTCGTAAAATAAAACATCATCTGCGCTAACTAATAAGCATATTTGAACTCACCACTTTAAACCATTAGTACTTAGCCTTAGTACGTAAAAATCCGATCATTAAATGAAAAGTTATTCAAAATGGTTCTCTTTTTTTGCACACAGTACATAACGAGCTGCTCCACAGTATCGCTACCAAAACACTCTTTCGAGAAGGACTATCAGGATGAGCGTTACCTGGAGAGGTGCGATTTGCAGCTCCCCTTTGAAAGCAAACCAAGCATTCGAATTTTGATAACCATTATTTTAGAGAAGTTCAGTTTCTGTAAATTAAATCTGAATACTTAAAAAGATACCTCTCTAATGATGAAGAATAAAATATTGGCTGGGTTGTCAGTTATAAATGATGCCCGGTGACTTCGCGCTCCCGTGCCACAGGTTCTGGATTCGATTCTAAGGCCGGGCACGGCTGACTTAGAATTTTCATCCCTTCAGTGGGTTGATAAATGAGTATCAAGCATGCTTGGGAATTAAACACTGGGGGTTCCGCTTTCGGCTGACCACCTAATCAGAACATCTGCTCCTGCAACCCAGAGCTCAAGATCAAGAAAACTGAGCTGGGCACTGTAGGCCTTGGCCCTCTATGGGCTGTCGAGTCACTGAGTTTAGTTTTAGTCAGTTATAAATAACTGCACTTACTAGAATTCCAAGATCTTGACCAGTTGAGGAAAGTGAGAATCAATTTTATGTTATTTTAAAGTATATATAATGACACTAATATTGATGTAATTAAAAATTCATTGTTTTTGGCGATATTGCGCGAGATAAATAATATGATCAGTTTTTTCCCGATGTATCGAATCCAAAAAATTGGAATATAAGAAGTATTTAAATTAAATAATTTTTCAAATTTCTTCCTATTTTGTATAAACAAGAAAAAGTAATAAAAAATAAATTAAAGAAAATTAAAGAAAAATAAATAAAGAACATTTTGATGATGATGACATTAAAAATACAATTAAAAATTATTTATAGCATAAGAATAAAGAATAAATTTTTTTTTGCAATTAAAAATTAACAAAGTAAATAAAACAAAAGCTGGCCAAAATATTATGCCATATAAGAAAAACATATGGGGAAACAAAAGGAGCACAATCTGTATCCTAAATAAGAAAGCTGGTCACTTGTCCAGCACAACCAGGTAACCCACACTTCCGTCCATAGATGTATATTATAATTTTATAACCGTCGTTGAACAGCCGACCCCATTTTTGCGTTTACGACTACTAATGTTCAACTCCGTAGCCTTGTAATTTTGAAATCAATCCAGAAGACAAGGGAACTCCTGGATCAAGTATTGGGAGAAATTTGCCTTCGTGGAGGACATTTTTGATGTAACTAACCCTCATTCACGTTACATGGAGAGGAAGACCACGAGAACCTCCCACGGTTACCCTGACGGCAAGGGGACTCTAACCCATGATCCGTCTACCACTGGATATATTTCGCGTCAGCACTGTGGTCGGTGCAAGCTGGATGAGGAATTCGTATCGACTGGGATTCGAACCCGGTTCGCCTCAATGGAAGGCGAACGCTCTATCCCCTGAGCCAGCACGGCTAAGGAAGACTCTATACCACGGAAGAAAAACAAGTTTTTTTTTCTTTCTAAATTTTAAAGATGAAAAAAAAAAAAATTTTTTTTTCCGAGGAAGAAACTTCTTATCCTTTTAATTCCATAAGTGATTAAAAATTTAAAGTATAGAAAAAGGGAGATCAGGCAAACATAGAACCAACCATGAAGTTTTATGTAATGAAAAAAAAAATCTCAAAATGGCAAAATAAAAACAAATTATAAGAAGATAAGGTAGGATTAAACAATCGGGAAGTTCTCTTACAATAATTTGTTTGCATTTTGATTTTTTTTCCAGCAATTGAAGCATTATGGCTTACTCTAAGTTTTCCAGAACCCAGTTTTTCTAAATTTTAAATTACTTATGGAGGCGACAGAGAATTTGCAATGAAAAATTTCTCCCATGGTATTGCGTCCTCTTAAATTTACTCACTTTGCATGTACAGAGATAATACTTAAAAAATTATACTAAAGATACAAAATAATAATGATTATTATCATGCAATATAAACCTGTGCTGTAGTTCCAGCATCTTTCTGCTGTAAAAGTGTTGTTATCTCAAGCATTTTCTTCTCTACATCTTTTTCTATCGACTGCTTTCGAATGCTCCTTTCAAGTTCTGTTTTCTTCATTTTAAACAGAGTCATAAATAATTGTTTGAATGTGATAAAAATTTCTTTGTTCTGAAAATTCAAAAATACTCTTAGAAACTTAAGAATCCTTGCATTAGAGATTGGAATTCGAGTTGTTAAATCAATGTTGTACGATTTCCATGCAATTTATTAATGAATTTAGTGATCGATAAAACGGGATTTTATAGGAAATAAATAAGAAGTTCAAGTTTAGCATTTATTTGATTGAAAGTTATAAACAGAATAAAAAATAAAACTAGTAGTAGTTAATTTTCCATCACTTTGCATATCGATAGTTATAACATGAATATACCGTAAAATTACAAAAGAAAAAATAAATAAAAATAAAATATAAACAAATAATAAATAAATAAGTAAACTAAAATAAACTTTTGCTGTTGTTTTCGTTATGAACAGGGAAACGTTGCTAACATTTTGAAAATGCTAAATTGGATTCGAACCATTCACTAATTAGAAACTGTTCAGCAGGTGAAATTATAAAAACAATAGTGTGTAAAAATGATTTTTTGACTTTTACTAACAATAAATAGTAAGAAAATGATTCTTTTTTTAGACGATATTGGAATAGCTTCGATTCAATTAAAAAAAAAACACAAAAAAAACTAGTGGGCCCCTGTTTGCTGACACGCCGAGATCTCTCTAAATTTCTATTCAACCTTATATGACTTGATTTTCAGATCCTTTAGAGTTAAACCCATTTCAAATGTGCTCTAGAGTAAAACCTTAATAGTTTAAATCAATTATTAAAATTATTAAAACTAATTCGTCTTCAAAAAATTAAAATTTTAAGTCAATAATGACTTATTGAACTAAAGAATCACAACTTCGTTAAAAAAGCAATTATGAATTTCAGAACTTTGAGCTATCACTATAAATTTATTATTATTATGAACAAAATTATCATTATTGAACTCTCTTAAGTATAATTAAAACATAATATAAAATACTTTGTTTGTTGATGTGAGCTATTCGTTTTTCATACTTTTAGTCATTGTCAACTAATAACTTAGTTAGTTTCAGCTTTTCGTTGTTCACGCGAAAAACGAATTTTCATTCAGAAATTTAATGACATGCATGTTTACGCTTTTATGCTTATGACCGCTTATACGCTTGATTTTTCAATTCTTCGCTGCCAACACATAAAAAAGAGGACATTCTTTTTCCCCATGTGAGAAAACTATATATATATTCTCATAACATTATTAACTTCCAATTTAACCAATTTTGGACAATAGAGCATTTATGAACAACTGATTAAGTTTAATTGCGTATTTTCGCCACTTGATGCTGTAGGTTTAAATAATAACAGCGTATTATCGTGTAAGTTAAATAGTTAAATTTGTAAGAATAATTAACTTTAACATCAGATTCCTATTATTTAAGTAATACTTTACTTTTTATTAATTGATAGTTGCAAAAAGACTCATACTCATATAAAAAAAATCTGATTCAGTAATTGAACTGAAATTAATAATAAAAATATTCTAAAATCTACAGAGTCTAAGTTTTCAAATACTGTAGATGAAAATAATTTTCGCATATTAATGTATTTGGTATGCAATTAATAATACGAAGTACTGAAAACTCATTGTTTTTTGTTAAAAAGTGACCTTAATAATCTCCAGCTGAAATATAACATAGATTAATGTCTAAATAAAAACTAAAAAAAATTCAAATGTTTCGAAACATTGAATGTATGAATAACTAACAATTAGTGTTTATGTTATTAGAAGAAAGTTATTAGAAGAGAGCTATTTTTTAACTCAGTTATTTAAATTTAGATTTTGGTTGTTCCTAAAATTTACAGAGTTATATTATTTTTGGATTAAGATAGATAATTATTTGCATCAGACTCAGCATATTTACGTGGGAGTCAATGATTTCGACAGGAACATGATGATGCCTTCTAAGTTTCTCGATATCATAACATATTGCCTCCATTTCAATTTTAAATGTTTCTAGCAAAGAGCAATAGAGTTTTTCACAAGCACTAGTTATTCTAGAGCACTGAAATTAAAAAAAAATATTTATGAAATAATTGAATTCTGCACAACAATTTACAATGCAATCTTATGAAAAAAATAATTGGTCTATATACGAAAATTTAAAGCATTCATTTTACATAAAATTGACTATTTCATTACTTTACATTTTAATATTTTTTCTTAAAAATACTACTACTTTTAGAACTTTTAAACATATGTTGATAGTATCATTTTGTATCACGCATATGTTTTATTTTTTTGCATAATTCAAAATTTAGGAACAAAGTTTTTAAATTATGAAAGCAGTTCATAACTTTAATGAGTCGTTTCATTAATTTAAAACTTGCATTTATGCATTTCAAAGTTCAGTTTCCGTTCCACACGGTTGAAAACAATTACCGTACTGCATGGTAACGACATTTGTGGTAAAAAAACAACAACACAGTTCTGCTTAATAAAACCAAAATATCATAACCATTAAACCATTCATTCATTTAAACCATTCATTAGATTAATTTTCTGCTCAAATTGTAAAGGCTTAATACGAACTGTAATTTTGAAAACCAGAGTTTCTTGTAAACCACTTCGGTATGAACGAAAAAATTAACGACTAGTTAATTTAAATACTTTTTATTTTAGTTTTATAATTAGAATTAAGATTTTTTTTAACCAAAAATGTCATTACCATACAGTACTGCAAATTTACCAGATTTTTTCTCAGTGAAGAAATAAGGAATAAACGTATTTTTTTAAACTTTCTATATACTTTTGTTGAGATTTTATCCTCTTGAGAGAAAGGGATAGAAATTAGAAATCATAATCGAGTACAATTAGTGCAAAAATAAAATATTGGTTTAAGTAAAAATTAGCAATTAACCTACCGTTCATCTACGAAACAGTTAGTTAAAGAGTTAAAGAAATCGCAATGCGCGTGAAATGTAATCTAGAAAAAAGCACTTGAGTTAATAGGAATTAATAGAAAATAAATTGTTGTATTATTAAAAATATACAACAATTAATAATTCAGCTAAAAACCTAAAAAGTGGAGTAACTGAAAATTAGCAACTAAACTTGCCATTGATTTACGGAACTGTTAATTAAGTAAATTGCAACGCGTGTGAGAAGTAATCAAGGAAAAATCACTTGCTTTAATAGGAATTAATGGAAAATAAATTGTAGTATATTAATTAAAAAATATTTATCTTTCCATTAAAATTATAATATACCTGAATATCCACATCATTTTTGATTTCTTTCATAAGAAGAATTTGAGGTTCTACTCTTTCAGTGGCAGTATTGTTTTTCTGTAGAAGTTCTTGTAAAACCGGAGAATAAAATAAAGTAATCATATCGCCCTTGAAAAGAACAATATTATTTTTATTTGTGAAGCTGTAAAAAATGGATACTATAATATCACGAAACTTGCTTCGCCTTTTATGAAACCGTTTTCATAAAAGGCGAAATGGTATAGGCTCCGAACAAAAATTTCGACTAAGTGACGAAATAACTATCGTTACTTCTTAAATTAAACGAATTTCATCAGAAGTAAAGAAATATTATGACTTTCTATTTTTCTCCTTTTTTTTCCAAAAAAAAAAAGAAAAAAAGAAATACAATAAGGCACTCATAGTGCCTCGTGGTTTCTAACGGGTGATATTGTTGCTCACTTTTTAGTGGGCACCATATAGAAAGATCAACGTCACCCCAACAACTCGAGAAGGACAGACAGAACAGAGAAATAAATTACATCCATGCCCGAAATCTTCCTGGCATGAAGTCAACTCCTTGATCATAATACAACCGATGGGTTCGTTCGTCATTCCAGTTTCGATCATCTAGTTTTCGTTTTAAGTAACAATTTTTCATAATGCAACTGCAATGAGGTTCCGAGTTGAGACAACATTTCCTTCATATATTTGAGAGTTCACGTTTCGTCACAAATCACGTAATTTCGTGACAAAATCATTCTCGAAATTAATGGAATATGAAGAATTGCTGCATTGTCGAAAGTGAGAGTTTTATTTCTGAAAGTATTCAGAAATCTTTGAAACTGAAGTTATTTAAAATATTAGCGGCATAAAATTATTACATGGATTATTGAGCTAGAGAATGTGTAACTAATAATTTTTATAACACTTGAAATGTACAAAAATATCTGTAGAACCTGGAAAACGCCTTCAATCACTTGTATTTTTTTCAAAATCTATCGTAAAGCACTTACGTTATTTTGTTTAATTGTACAACAATAACCACAGTAACTGAGATAAAAAAATTGCAATATAAATATTGCAGAAAGTCGAATTAGTTAAAAAGTTTCAGAGAGAATAGTTTAAAAGTTTGATGAAAATATCATTTGTAAAAAATGTGAGGAGGAAAGTAATATACGAAATGTTAGGAGACAAGTTATAAACTAATAGACTGATTATATTTTTTACGGATAATACAGTTCCATTTCATACAAGCTATTAAGAAAAGTATTATAATGTGATAGAAATTTCATTCTTTTGAATACAAAGATAAACGGTGGCTTACTTCGCTTTCGATAAGTTCCAAAACTTCTATTAAAAGTTGAATTTCACTTTTTCTTTTCTCTAGCGAGTTTGTCATTTGATCAATAAAGGTAGCAACAATAGGAAAGAGCTGAAAATAAAATGGCTGAGAATGATTTCTGTAATTTAAAACCTTCTTGGAGGAAGTTATTTAAAATTGAATCTGCAAAAAAATACAGAAAACTTAAAACAAAAAGAAAACAGAAGAAAAAAGAAAAATAAATCTTAAAAAAGGAAATGGGAGCAAGAAATCTAAAGAAAAAAAAAGATATCTGTATCGTTCAATAATAGACACTATACACGATATATAGTATTGACACGATATATAGTACATACGATGCATACTATAGACACTATATACACAAGAATATCGTACTTGTTAAAAAAATTCATTACAATATTATGCTATTATATATTTCAATTCTGCGTCAATATAACAAAGTTTCCATTCCAATGAAACTGGTTGTACAATAAATGAGGAAAATTATCATCACTGACGATGGTGATGATAATGACAAATGTGAGAAAAATTGCATGGTCATTATAATAATTTTTTTTATTCAGACATAAAATGTTTTAATGAAATGAGTAGAAAGAAACAATAACACTTTGCTTACCTCACTTTCCGTTTTCCAAGCATTGCAAGTGTTTTTCATTTGCTGAATTTCGAGGTTTCGGTCTTCAATACCATGAATCATAAGATTTTTGGCTTCAATCACTTTAAGATTCTAAGATTAAATATAAGATATTAACATGAATCAAATAATCGAAGTTATCAGCATCCTGTGTTTTTCATGCGTTCAAGGTAAGATAGACAAAAATTGGAGGATTGAGGAATCATATTATGCAAGTTAAAATATATTTATAAGAGTATTTAAATTTAAATAAGTAATAATATATGTAAACATTTTAATGAACTTTAAACATAATTATGCTATTTAAAACCAATTGTTATATCATTATGCCACCGTAGAACGCACCAATAATTTCATGTATTCACTTTTAAGTTAAAATGACTCAATTATGAATTGTAAAAGCAAAAAGTAGTACTCTGAAAGATTTAATATTTATATTTAGACATTTTTGCGTAAAAGTGTTTTGTTATACTCACTTTTAGTAGGTGGGGCTCATTAAATGAGTTGAAAAGTTTCTCATAAAGTAAAGTAGCCACCAAATTATTATAATAATTTAATTTTTTTTCCAATTTCTAATTTGAAATGATATTTGCTTGGAAATATATAATACTTTTAGAAAGTTTCATCTACAAATGTGTAATTTTTTTAAGAGGAGCAGAATGTAAATACCAGATTTTTCGAAAAGTGTTTGTAGAATACAGGATTTCGACAAAATTTTGATTTCTCGATTTTGCTTTATATCGTTAAATTATTGAAAGAAACCAAATTATAAAATTAATTTTATTAATACTGTAGTTATTTAGTAAAGGAGAGACAAACTTTAAGTTTTACTATGCTTATTGTGAATTATGCCAAGAGTTATTAATTAATATTAATATAAATATTATTACTAACAATCACTCATTTATAGGTTAAAGTATAAAATCACTCGGAATTTTTTAAGATTTAAAACTAAATGAAAAGTATAACTTTCTTTCTTGTCCATCTAATAACAGTATTTAATGGTAAATGTACTTTAATTATTAATAACTTTAATGTATGTACACTTACATCTATGTTTCCAATGTGTTGTAAATAGGACAGTTCAGAGTTTAAATTTTTAACTTCTTCTTCTCTTTGTTTAAATTCTATTTCCAAGGATTGACTACATAAGGAGAACAGCTCATTTCTCTGAAGTGAAAACAAAATCGTTAGACACAGAAAGTATTTTAAGTGTCAGTCGCTGATCGTGATGCTTTATATATATATATA